CCCCCCCTTCCGCCACAAAAGACGAATCGCGCATCGAAGACACCAACTCTGTTCTGCCCATGACCTGCGACAGCTGTCGCAATGCAGAGGACAGCTGCCTAAAAAACCGCCCATGCCGGCCCGGGCAGGCCTACAACGACGTTGACCGCGATGATGGCAACGTCCCCTCTGCCGGCCCAGCCCGTGGATTCTCGGGAGCGGCCGGCCCGGAGACCCCCACCCCGCCGGACGCCGAGAAGACGTTGGTGCTTGACAGTGCGAGTGCGACGCCACCCACCCTAGCCAGAGTCGAGACGAACCTCGACTTCCCCGAGGGAGGGTTGGCGGCGTGGCTCGTGGTCTTCGGATCCTTCTGTGCGATGCTCTCCGTCTTCGGCCTCATCAACACGGCCGCCGTTTTCGAATCGTACTTCTCCACCAACCAATTGGCCGACTACTCGTCGTCGGAGATCGGCTGGATCTTCAGCCTGTACCTGTTCATCGTCTTCTTCGTCGGCATCCAGGTCGGGCCCATCTTCGACAAGCACGGGCCGCGGATCGTCGTGCCCCTGGGTGGCCTGCTCATCTCGGCCAGCCTGCTCATGTTGGGCGTTTGCGAAGGTAGGTAGTTTGTGTTATACGAAGTTGCACCTCGTAAGAGGGTGGCAAAAGGGTTCCCGGGCGGGGGCATCTCGGCATCTTTGATTTCGTCCATGTGACAAAAGGCTAAACTGTTGTCGGTGCACCAGAGTACTACCAGATTATCCTGTCCTACGCCGTCGTAGGCGGACTCGGCGGAGCGCTCCTGAACTCACCAGCGTACGGGGCCATCGCTCACTTTTTCGACGCCAAGCGCGGCTTCGCAACGGGCATCGCAGCCACGGCAGGATCCATCGGCGGCATCGTGTTCCCCATCCTGCTGCAGCGGCTGCTGCCGACCCTGGGCTTCGGATGGACGACGCGGATCCTGGGCCTCATCCTCCTGGGCCTGGCGCTGCCGGCGACGCTGTTCATCCGTACCCGTCTGCCGCCCCGCGACACGGCCCTCGTGAGGAGGTCGGTCTGGCCGGACCTGACCATGTTCCGGGACCTCAAGTTCACGCTGTCGGCGGTGGGCATCTTCTTCATGGAATGGGGCCTGTTCGTGCCCCTGACGTACATCGTGTCGTACGCGGCGCGCTTCGAGGAGGACGCCACCGACTCGTACACGCTCCTGTCCCTGCTCAATGCCGGGTCCGTGTTGGGCCGGTTCCTGCCCGGCTTCCTCGCGGATAAGGTGGGGAGGTTCAACGTGATCCTCGCCAGCATCGCCCTGTGCGTCGCCACCGTCTTGGGCCTCTGGCTGCCGGCGGGGGATTCGCGGGCCATGCTCATGGCCTTTGCCGTGCTGTTTGGCTTCGCCAGCGGCAGTAACCTGGGGCTCACGCCCGTGTGTCTCGGGCAGCTCTGCGACCCTCGGGACTACGGGCGGTTCCTCTCGACGGCGTTGATGGTGGCCAGTTTTGGAACGCTCAGTAGTCTGCCCATAGCCGGTGCCATTCTTGAGGCGGGGGATCACAGCGATGTGGGCTGGATGGCCCTTATCGTGTTTGCCGGTCTTTCGTATCTCCTCGCGCTAGGGTGTTTCCTCGCAGCGAGGGTGTTGGCCGTCGGTTGGGGTGTGAAGAAGGTGTTCTAATAGATGGGGGTTGATGGTTCTGTGAAAGCGTCGTCCAACCTGGTTGATGATGGATGACCAGGATTAGTAAACGAGGATTAAGTAAGCGGACAAGATGGCACAGTGAATAGAGTTATATCCGTACGGAGTACGGCCACGGTACATGCCTATCTTATCTTTTAGGTGGGGGGTGGGGGAGGGGCAACGGTCATTGAAGTTTTTATCCCAAGGAAGGAAGGGCCCGTACTACATACGGTACGTACTGTGTACCCCGCCGAAAAGAAACGATCCCTTTCCAACGCCCGCCCGCCATGATACTTTTATTTTAACCCGCGTCTTTCAAGTTCTCATCAGGCTCATCTCTCCCTTCCACACCCTTCCACATCATGTCAGAATCAGAAACTCTTTCTGCACCGCCAGTACTTTCAACCCCGGCTGAACCCATCTTCGAAGACCCGACTCCAACCGTAGTAGAACCCGTCGACCCCCTCCCGCCACGGACCGACGATGAGCTTCATACCGTCTACGAGATTCGCCGCACCGCGCGCGAGATCAAGCAAGGAGGCTGGAAGCGTATCGGTCTCCAATTCCCAGATCCCATGCTACGCGATGCTGGATGGGTAGTTGAAGCTTTGAGCCGGGCCCTCGCCCAGGAAATCCCCTCTTCCTCCCCCCAGGGCGCGGAGGGGTCGGGGTCGGCCCCCGAGCGTATCTACGTCCTAGCAGACACCTCCTACAGCGCATGCTGCGTCGACGAAATTGCCGCCGAGCACGCCGATGCCCAGGTTGTCGTACACTACGGCCGTGCCTGCCTTTCCCCGACCTCGCGCCTCCCCGTCATTTACGTCTTCACCCAACAGGCCCTCGACCTCGACGCCGCAGCTGCCGCCTTGGAGTCCCAATTCCCCGACCCCGACGCCGCCAAGGTCGTCCTCATGGCCGACATCACGTACCAGGACCACGTCGAGCCTCTGGCCTCGCGCCTGCGCGCCAAGGGCTACCGACACATCCTACGGACCGCCGTCGTACACAACCCCGCCGGCGTCATCCCCAACCGAAGGCTAGCCGGCGCCGAATCCGAGTCCGAGTCCGAGTCCGAGCCCGGCCCTGAACCAGACGAAGCCCATCTCAGCGGGTACTCCCTCTTCCACATCTCCACCCCGCCCTCCGCCCTCCTCCTCGCGCTGCACAGCCGCTTCGCCTCCCTCCACGTCCTCCCGGCCCCTCCACCACCATCGCCGCCCCCGCCCGGCGCGCCCTCGCCACGCATCCAAGTCCAAGACCCGACCGCCGCGACCGCCGCCCTGCTGCGCCGGCGCTTCGCCCGCGTCCTGACCCTCGCCAGCGCCGGCGTGGTCGGCATCCTCGTCAACACCCTCAGCGTCGCCAACTACCTGTCGACCGTCGACCTGCTGCGCCGCCGCATCGCCGACGCCGGCAAGAAGAGCTACACCGTCGTCGTCGGCAAGCTGAACCCGGCCAAGCTGGCCAACTTTGCCGAGATCGACGGCTGGGTGGTCGTCGGGTGCTGGGAGAGCGGGCTGGTCGAGGACGACGCCGGGTTCTACCGTCCCGTCGTCACGCCTTTCGAGCTCGAGGTCGCGCTGCGGCCCGAGAGCGAGCGCGTGTGGGGGCCGGAGTGGTGGGGCGGGATGGAGAAGTTGGAGCAGCAGCTCCAGGATGCCAACCAGGAGGAGAATGGGGACGGGGCGAAAGAAGAAAACCAGAGCGAGGGGGGCCAGGGGGAGGAATTAGGGGCGGAGGATGGTGATGGCGTTGACGGGGAAGAGGAAGAGTCGGCGCCGCCCGCGTTTGACTTGCGGACCGGCAAGCTTATCAGCCATAGCCGGCCCATGAGGGTCGTGGTCGACGGCCGTGCGAAAAAGCAAGCGGGCAGTCGAAGCCAAGGAGATGCAGACGCGTCGTCGTCGTCGTCGTCCGGAAGGGAATCCAGCGCGTTGGTGAAGACGGCCGCGGCGGGGGAGCTAGCGACCATCAACGGAGTGGTGAGTCCCGGGGCCGAGTTCCTGCGGTCGAAACGGACGTGGCAAGGTCTCGGCACGGATTTTGATCATGGCGACGAGAGGAGTAGGAGTGCGGTCGTTGAAGAAGGGCGGAGCGGCGTGGCGAGGGGATACACAGTGGGAGAGGACAGCACGCGAACATGAGGTAGACTGCGGGGGACGCCGAGGGAAATGGAAATAAAAAAATGCAAATAAATCCGGGGGATGAATTGATATATATTCTGGGCCGTGCTCTGGGAAGACCCTGCGCAAGGTCGTTTGATATGATACTTTCGCAGCATTCGATTTCGCCCATAGGACTTGTCTCCCTTCAGCGCGAGGTGGAACTCGTCGAATGTTCCTACAAACGGTCCAATTTTTACCTGGCACAACCACTTCTCTCTTTCTTCTTTTTTTTTGGGAGACATCTTCTCAAAAAGTCGTCTCGGAGGAGGTCTGTCGTCGTAAATGTCGTGCATGTCGTCGCAGCGTCGCAAAGTATGTTCGATTTTTTTCTTTTTCTTCTTCTTCTTTCTATTCCTCATATTTCCAAAACCAAGCGGGAAAAGAAAATCAGACATAAACACGGCGGGAATGCGAACTAGGCCGAGATTCGTAGGAGCGCGAATGTCGGCTACTTCCGCTGTGACGCCGACGATGGTGGGAAGACGAGCGCGCGCCGTCGCGATACGAATCGTCATAGCCGGTGTCGCGGCGGAGGCCGTCGCCGCTGAACCAGGCAAGGAAGCTCGTGAAGAAGAACATGACGACGTTCATGATGGCGAAGGCCCAGCAGGCCTTGAGCATGGAGCAGGGCCTGCCGGAGAGCCAGTCCCAGGCGCCGGTGGTGACGACGGCCATGGCGGCGAAGTGGCGCCTCCAGTCGGCGTCGCCGACGACGTTGTTGCAGTCGACGTTGCGGATCTCGCGGAGGGCGTAGACGGAGCCGATGAGGGCGCCGACGAAGAGGAGGTCCACGATGGCGACCCAGGTGGCGTTGGTGCTGGAGCGGTGGTAGCTGAAGAGGGTGAAGAGGGCCCAGGCCAGGGCGAGCACGGAGACGATGAAGAGGACGAGGATGTAGTCGGGGGTCAGGGCGTTGGATTCGACGTAGCCTCGGACGAACCAGGCGAGCATTCCCACCACGGGGATCTTGGTTTTGTTAGTTTCATCTCGTCGGCGATGATAAGGATATGGGATAACTAGTCTGCAGTCTTGACTTACCAAGGTGATGATTTGGCAGAATCGCCAAAAGACGAAGAATATGGTGAAGAACCACATGGCGGGCAGTGGGCAGTCTTCGGTCTTGGGACCCTTTGTTGGTTTTTCTGTCTGTTCTCTCGAGGGAGGATGTGGGGGCCCCAAAGGAGAGGTTGATCGATGATCAGCGGACTCGGGGTCCAGGAGGAGAAGGGCGGGGGCTGGGATGGGGATGGGGATGGGGAGGGGACGAAAGACGGAGGTGAGGTTGCGCTGGATTTTAAAAGAAAGTTGAGATGATTGAGCAGCTATCCGTAGAAAGGCGGCACGGCACGTTGCAGGAACCACTGGGCATTTGAGTCGCCAGCGAATAATCGAGAAAGTCTGGTCAAAAGGCGTGGCTGGCTGTACGGAAGACGGAAGACTTCTGTATGTAGGTAGGGTTTTTTGCAAGCTGGAGGGGTCCGGTCCTGTGGTCCTGTGGTCGTGTCAGCGCGGGAGGAGGGGAGGTTGGGTTTCCTCTAGGAGTCTCTAGCCTGCATGCATGCAATACAGGTGGCCGGATGACTGGAAAGTCGGGCCTTTCGAGCGACCCGCGAGTCTGGTGTAAAGAAGTACAACGTGTATGCGATGGGTGTGTGGGAGGACAGCAGAGCAACGATACCCAAGGTAGTGTCGAGGTCGCAATGTGTTCCTATTGTACCTAGGTACCTATATATGTATAAGGTACCTAGGTAAGGTACCGTTCATACGACCGGAGTACCTACCCTGTCCGGACGCTACCATCTTCATGACGTTGGATTCCTTATCGCTTTACCGTCCCGACAATGCCAAAACTATGAGTTAGGTACTGCTGTGTTACAAGTACTGACCATATAAGTCTTCCTGCTCCATCCAGAAGAGTGGTTGTCGACACAAGACATGCCAAAGATATCAATGCCATTGTTAACTGGAATGCAATTATGTCGTACTTGGAAGTTATGGACACACCGCGGATGCCTATCCGCATGTCTAGAACATTCATGGATTAAAAAACAATTGAGGGGCTGGGACAACGGGGAGGGGACCTGGACCGAATTGGCGCACAGCGTGGGCGCTCCCGCAACCTTCTGCCGTTGCCAGGGCGCCCATTGTGAGTTGAAAGAGTCTAGCCAATCATATCATCTGCACTTATGGCTACCTAGGTACCTAGGTACCTCCGCTACTCGCCCTTATCTTATCAGTACATATTCTCCCTGTTCAAGTCGGGATCACCACCATCACCATCACCACCACCACCATCACCACCACCACCATCACCACCTGTTCTCGAACCGAAAAGTGTTTATTATAATAGCAAAGTCGATATTAATACATACTTGCTCTCGGATTCCACACAAGAATACCGTAATATCCACTCATTACACTACCTTATATACAAAACGTTCAACTGCCCTACCTGTCGGGTCCCTCAAAAATACTCTTCCTCATGCTCGTCGTCCACGCGGACCCAGGACGCCGGTGCCACCCAACAGTGTGACAACTCGTGAGCCGCCTCATCCATACCACCACGTCCCACAGCCGATCCTGTCCCTCCTGTCCCTGTCCCTGTCCCTGTACCTGTCCCTGCACTAGGCACCTTCCACGGGGGCACCCGGCTGCCGCGCAGCCGAGCCGACAGGTGATACGGCACCCCCTCCCGGTACCGCACGCTCGGAACGTCCACCGACACGCTCGCCAGCGTCTGCAGCAGCCCGTATAGGAGCACCCACCGCCCCCGTCGCGCCACGGCCGGGTCCACCTCCCCGATCCGGTCCGTCTTCTCAAACTTCACAAACGCGTCGATGAGATCCGACTGCGTGAACTCGGTACCCAGCGCGTAGATGTTGGTCGCCTCCGTGTACGCGAGCTGCACCCGCCTCTCCAGCGCTGCGTTCCCGCCGCTCTTTTTCGAGCTCTTGAACATGAACGATGTCTCCCTGCCGGTGTTGGATGCTGCCACTGCTGCCGCCGTCCCGCCCGGCATCGATTCCGGCACCAACGGGTAAGGGTGCGGTATGTGCGGGAACCGCATCTTGTTGTCGAACTCTACCAGCATGTCCGTCATCGGCAGCTCCGAAATGTCCGCCTCGAACGCCCGGTTGCCCGACTCGCTGACCATCATCCACTTGCGGCCCGACCGCGCCTCGGACTCGTCCCACACGATGTCGCGGTTCACCAGGTAGTCGTACAGCGCGCCCAAGTCCCGCTGCAGCGCTTGCGCGACCGTCCTCGTCAGCCATATGCCTTCCTCGCCTTCGCCTCCGGACCCGCCACCGTACCCCGCGCTGTCGTCCGCCGGCAGTGGTGGCGGCCATGAGCCGTAGATCCGAGAGTAGTGTTTCAGTAGGAACTTCTGAAACCTCTCGGCCGCCGCCTTGGCCTGGCTATTGTTATTCGCAAGCCGACCGGAGGACGGCCACATCTCCGGGCACTGCAGCTCACCCAGCCGATCTTCGGCCGCCTGCACCCGGAGCTGCGTCTCGAGGCTCGCCCGCTCCAGCAACGCGCGCGTCACCGGCGTCAGGTTGCGGAAGTCGGCGCACCGCTCCAGCCGCCCGTGCATCATGCCGGCGCAGTGCACGAAGCTCTCGCGCCATCCTTCCTCCCACCGCACCTCCGGGCCCTCGGTCCACGCCAGCAACCCCACCGCCGTCTCGGGCTCCCCGCGGACGTCGTCGAGGCCGCGTGCCGCGAGATACTTGACCATGGTCTCCACATTGTCCGCCTTCGCCGGCATGTACGCATCGAGCCGGGCGTGGAGGTCCGACAGCGCTTGATACAGCGATATACCCACGAGGGAGGCGTGGTAGAACAGGGCAAACATGTTCCGCGTCGTGATGTGGTGGCGGAACTGGTCGACCTTGGACATGCCAGATGGTGTCGGAAAGTACATCTCGTACGAGATCTGCCCGTCCGCATCGCCGACGCTGTTATCCTCGGATGCGGGGGGGCTGGGCTGACCACCGGCGGCGGCGGCGGCGGCGGCGGTAGCAGCAGCCGGCCCCGTGTCTTTTCCGTGGTGGTGTTGCGTACCGCGCCTCCTGTCGTGACGGGGCAAAGGCGGTGCCCCTCGGGGCGACGGAGGCAACTGGAAGTCCAGGTCTTCTTCCGTGGACCCTTCCCGCAGCATGGTGATCAGCGGTCGCGACTCGGTGGCCTCGATGATGTGAGATGAGAGACGGAAAGACGGGTTCGGTTTTGGCGTCTGCCCGCGGTGACCGAAATACACAAGGACGTCGCCGTTTGGGTCCCAGAGTTCGGGGTCCTTGCGCAGCTTATTCCAGCGCTGTGCTGGCCGGCCGCCGCCGACCCACCGCTTCATAGGCGGTGGTTGAGCGGTGGGGATGTGAGGCAGTTTGCCTATAGGGGGTGGCGGGGGAGGCTCTGCCCATGGATTGCCGTGATTCATGTGGTCCATGTTATCGTTGTTGGGGTTCCAATCGAGTGTCCCGCTGGTCAGTCGTCGGCCGGTTAGCGGCACCGAGCCAGAGATGGGGACACGCGATTCGAGCTCGGCAGGCGTGCCAAATTCTCCGCCGGGGAGCTCGATAGCGTTGAGAGGATGGGCCCCCTGGGGTCGCATAGTGGCGGCGGTAGGCGATCGCTGTTCGAACGCTTTATTGTCGAGGCTGTCACGGCGGGCATCCTTGTCCTTTTTCCGAAAGGCAAGCGTCTTCGCAATACCCTTGCGGACGCCCTCGCTCTTCTTGTCGAGCATGCTGCGCAGGCCGGACCGCTCGATACCCGAGACGTCCTCGGTCCTGAGGGTCTGTTTCCTCTGGAGACCCCAGGCTTGGTCGTGGTCGTGGTCGAACTCGTCGATGGGGCTGGTCTCCCGGCGCCCTTCGGCGCTGCTTCCGCCGCTGCTTATGCTCATGGCGCTGCTGAAGGTGAGATTGCGCCGCCCGACGCTGCCGGCCAAGGTCCCGTCGGCGGCGTCATGGAGGGGCTCGGAGAATTTCAAAAAGCGTGCGTTCGTCGTCCCGACTCCGGTGCCGACGGGGAGCGAGCTTCCCGGCATGGGGAAGTCGCTTAAAGCGACGTCCTCGTAGTCATAGCTGTGAGCGTAACCTTGACCGTAAGTTGGACCGTAACTTCCACCGGGGTTCAGCGGTGGTGGTGGTGGAGGATGATTTCGTGAAGCGTTTTTCCCGTCCTTGGTGGCTTCATTGCCGATCTTCTTGCGCACGTGGGCGCTGCGACCTGACATGGTCGAGATATTCGAGATATTGTTCCTTTATCACCCACCCCTCTCCGCCTCGTACCTCACCTCACCGCGTCTCTCTGTTGCGTTCCACGGGGACGAGCTCTACTCAGTTCTGGAGCTATCGGGTCGAATTTGAACCTGCCCCGTGCAGCGTGGTCGAGTGGACACAGTACTCTGTATATTACGTTAAACGCCTGGAAAGTCGGTCTCTTTTGAACAACCAATTGCTTCGTTCGATTCAATCAGAAGAAGCCTCCAGATCGGTGTCGTTAATGAAAGAAATAAAAGGACGAATTAGGACTAAAGAGGAGAAGCCCAATCGATGTATAATACATGACGTCTGCGAGAAGGTGATGGAAGGACGGAGGACGGAAGGCAGAAGGCAGAAGACGAAGAACGGTTGGAGACAATCGGGTCGTGGTTTCTCTGCTTCCCTGAGGGGAGGGGAGGGGCGGGGGACGACGCGGAAAGGGCGACGGAGCAGGAAGATAAGGGATGTGTTAGGTATCAGTGAATGTCGCCAAGTATGGCCGATAAACCCCACCATCAAGCATGAGGTGTGTCTGGGGAGTACCAATTGAAGGCAATCGCTAGGGTTGATAACAATTCAATGCAGTTTTAGTGATGTAACGTGAGGATATTTCGGATATCGCCAAGTCCCCAAGTGGGCAATCAAATCAATGAATGACTTTGCCTCAGATAGGTCCATACGAAGTATTCGGACTACTTTCATGCTGGGGGGAGCTCCGAATGCGAAAAAAGAAAAGAAGATACACATCTCGTACCGCTGGGTTGGATATATGATCATTAATAATCGAGGACACACCTCGTGAGCCGGCAATTGAGCATCTTGTTGGTTTGCTTTACGTAACTTGAACGCTGTCGTCGGAACGCTAAAGCAAGATCCCTGGATTTCGAGTCCCATAAGGCTGAACGTTGTGATAATTCATAGGATCATTCATACCCCAAGTACTTTGAAAGGTGGTGAGGTGGGTGGATCGATGGACCGATGATCGTGGTGATTTATTAGCTGCAGCATAATTTACCAGCACCGGCTATGCGCGATGCAGTGAAAATACCTAGCAGTTCACTCACCGAAATAACGGGGTCCGTCGATACCCACCCAGACTGAGCGAACTCCCACGTTAGGATGGGTCGCCGTGTGGGAGAATTGGAGAGAGCCGGAAATATGTCTCAAGAACGGTCAGGGGTGCTGATAGGGGTCTGTGTTGTGTATGGCCCATGCCGAAAGGGAACGGACGAAGACTCCCCTGCCACCACGACTTCATACCTACAACGTACACGGTACATAAGGTACCTGTAATTTTACATGTGCTGGCCAGGGTGGGCCAAGATGTTATTCTTGGGGTACTACTGTATTAGTATTAATTATACTCCGTTCTATTTCCTGTCTGGCGTCTTCGGTGCGACGGTGTCCCTACTTTCGTACAATGTGTGTAACACGGTGGGAATCCTGAACTCCTAATAATGTTCGCTAAGTAAGATATTATATTCTCTTGCCGTCCGTTCCGCAAAACGATAACTGGCCTACTTGGAGTCCATCCCCTTGAGATCTGCCATGCCGGAACTGCTTTATGGATGAGGCAAGGGGCACGAAACCAGTTATAGCAAATGTACCGAATGAAACCCCAAAGACAGGGGGGCATCCCCGCGTTTGGCACGCCATTAATTAAGGCGTTACTGATAAGCTCCTGGCAAGACCACTCACGTAATGGCAGTGCGCCGGCCCAGGTAGGTACGACCCTGTCCACACGTGGTTCTATCTTTGCATCTGGGAACGTCCGTTTGTCTCAAGTCCCTACCTTATTCAGTTTGTCTGTTAAAAGTTAATGTGATAAGGGCCGGGTAAACCAGATCAAGATCATTCTTTGCCCGCAGAGCCAGCACAAGACAAAGCATCGTTGGTGACAAGACAAGCCCCTGACTCGTAGACAGAAACAAATAAGAAACACAATAATACGTATAAAGGACAGAGTTAAGCCTTTTTTTTTAAAAAAAAAAAATCGCGTTTGAATGCGAAGTACAAGTGGAACGAAGAGAACAAGTCGAGTCGTCAACAGAGCACACGACAAAACAAGTCAAAGCAAGTCAAAGCAAGTCAAAGCAAAAAATATCTCCAAAAGACAAAAAGCTAAGCCAACTTGCCTCGTACTGGAATCGAACCAGTGATCTCCTCATTACTAGTGAGGCGCTTTACCACTGAGCCAACGAGGCGGAGTTATTGAGCGATTTCGATACTACCCTCATGTGGTTGAGAGCTCCTGTGGCCCACTAAATCGAGCTAACCCAGATGGGAGACGAAGACGGAAGACGTAGTTTTTCAGTACACGTGTAATACCGAATTCTAAGGAAACAGATTAATTACCTACGTACAACGTACGGACGTCCCATCGACCACCCGCTTGCCTTGCCGGCTCCCTCCCTTCACGGCATTCCGCGTCCAGCAGTTGCAGAGCCGCGCCTAGGCTATATCTCTGGAGCGAGTGCCTGTCACGAATAGGTTGAACCCATGTATAGGGGTTTGCCCGGCACACGACAAGTCCTCGCTCGCTGAGACGACATCATATCGGTCTCCGGCGCTGTACCGGCCAGTATGATGGAAACTGCTCTTCTGGGCAACCCGTTCTCGAAGGGGCCTCACTTCTCCAGAAAGAAGGTTGAAATATGGACTGCCCCGCTTTACTAGCTGGTTGTCTCAGGAGACCCTGGTCATCGCGGAGTACCTACTCGTCATCGCGAGCATCCATAAGTCGGGAGGCAGCCGGCCATCTCGGCGCCTTTTTTTTTTTTTTTTCTTTCTTTCTCTCTCTTTCTTCACTTGATTCTCTCTTTCAACCTCTGCGAGCCCCATTCCGCCAAGAGCAAAAGTGCCAAGCTGCCGGCGTATTGTTTTGGACCTAGCGACCTAGCATGTCCCGTGACGCGATCCGGAAGCTCTTACTTAATAGGCCGAGGGCAGGGACGCAGGGAGGGACTTTAGAGTCCCACGTCTTAAAGGCACGGCATCCTTCGACTTTACCAAGACTCGCTTGCCAACCCAAGCGCTATCCAACCTCAGCCCTTAGCCAAGGAGCATGTACGCGTAGTCTTCGTACGATGTATGGTAATATCCGGCCCGAGGCATGTTGAATAGTGGCACGCCTAGCCAGGAGATGTTCTTGATCCTCGAGCGGACCCGGGCCATCGGTTTGTGGGAGTCTCCATGCCCAAGCCACTGGTTTGTGAGTGCCTACCCTATATAGGTATAGAGGCTCTCCTCGTGGCGTGGTGGAGCAACGATCGTTAAGAAAGGATATGCGGTGTGAACGGCTTCATGGGCACAGAGGCTCCAGGCCAGACCCCGACTCGACACGCTGGAAAGAGATTGTGGTTTCGCTGGTGCTCCGGATACCGTTCAAGGTAGCCCATAGTGAGTTTCCCCAGCTGTGGACTTGTGAGGAGACCCCAGTTGTCCATCATTCAACCCCAGAGAGGCACACCCTGGTTGTGTCCGACCAAGGGTCCAGCCACATCGGACGGGGCTGGGAAGCGAGGAATGGTCGCCGAGACCGCGCCATGGGCCGATTTTTCGGCTCTGACAGCCGAAACGTCGGCGCCGCCTCGACGACAACCGTCAAGGAAGTTAAGGTATCCTGGACAGAGTCCCCGTCTCGTGAGAGTCATGACCTGGTGGGCCTTGCATATCTCGATCTGGACGGATGAATGTGGGGTGGAATTCCCTGTCGTATCTTCCTGGCTTCAAAATGTCGACGAACCCGTTCCGTTCTCATGTTGTACGTCGTCTGAGGGGACCGTAAGAAGACCAACCGGCCACTCGGCTGACGTCGATCCCGTACATATAGTTCGGCACACCCCGGATATTCAGGGCCGAGGGAAGGAGTAGACAGAAAAACAGGGATGTTCAGGGTAGAATTGCGCCTTTTAAATCACCGCAACGCGAACCCTGGGGATTCAGGACAGATTCCAAATAGCAGGGTTGGCCGCGTCACTGTACTTGCGGCTGAGGTTTTCTGCAGCAACTTTAGAACTAGCGGCGGTCGGAGCGGTTAGGGAGCTTAGATACATACAGTAAGCCAGTAAGAATTGGTATTAAACGCCGGTTCAAGGGCAACTTAATATTCGGATCGACGACAGCGGGTTTCCCGCATAAGAAAGGTGATTGGGACACCGAGGGACGCAGTCAACCAGCGAAACGCTTCGTCGAGGCAGAGCTTGACGTTAGGTACCGTCAGATAGGCAAAAGGAGCGAATCACTTTACATAATCTCATTGTGCAGATCGCTTCGGTCCTTTTGCCGGGCCACTATACTTCGTACCTATGTACTCGGCACGACGATGTGCCTGCGTATTGGTCTCCCCGTCTGTACGTGTATACCTACGATACGCGCTAGTCGCAGATCGATCCACGGGTCTGAAAAGTAGCGACACCTACCTTAGGTAATACGTACAGCAGTCTGGAGGGCACTTCGCCGGCTAAATCAAGGCCAGCGGGACAGTTTGGTTAGCCGCGCAGACAACGAAGAGAGACCTTTGGGGGCGTGGGAGTCTGTTGACGGGTACGGTACGTCGCAGCAAATCAGCACGAGGAATTAGCGAGCCATCGCATGGGATGGTTTCCAGGGGATAGGCATGTGCGGTGTTAATTAGTAGGTATCCGTACCGACTTCAGTTTCAAGGAATGATGGAGGAGGAGTCGTGTCGAAACGAGCACGCCAAATCGTGCAATGCAACCCTGCAGGCTCTGGGGCTGTGTCCGCGTGAGAAGACAGACCCCACAGGTAAACGCCATGTGTACCACTGAAGACTCTCTGCAAAACAACCATATCTCGTACATGAAGGTTAAAAGTACGTATAAATACCGTACGTATCGAACAGCCTGCGTGACTCATCTGACCCCTTACAGCTGTGTCCCAAGTCCTACTAGGAAGACAATCGAGACATGCGAACAGGCAGGCCTGTGTCCTCGGGTTCCAGGTTGAAGTTCAACGTTTTGAGGACGGAGTTTGGGTGTCCTCCCCGTCCCTTTCCGCCGGAAAGAGGGTTCTTCCCGGTTTCGTCCCAGTAATACCTAATTACGCTGAAGTTAACAAGAATCAAGACTCTAAGGTACGAAGGACGAAGTAAGGTACGAAGTAAGGTACGAAGTAAGGTACGAAGTACTCCGTAATTTCGATCAAATCCCAACTTGGTCATTCGGGGTCATTAGAGCTCAGCCCCAAGGTGGCTGCAAACGACCACTTAGGTAGCTTGATTCGTACCCTTGGCTGCGCTAAGGGCGAAGTTCTAGAGCACTCATTCGCTGTTCTTTAGGGTGCCGACCCCACCTGACAAGCCGTCCACAGTGTAGGTAATTAAGGCCAGGATGCTGGGTCGAGATCCCCACTAAAGAGCAGATGGAGTTGCGAATGAGGTCACTCCCGACATTAGCTGTTGTGTGCATCTCACTGCCCTACCCACATCACCAAGCCGACGGTAAGGCTCGGTTCACTTGGCTTTGGTTGCCTCCCTCCCCATCTAGATGGACCTTCAGGGTAGAGGAAGGTTCTGGTGGATGCCTGTTGAATTCTGCTTTCTCGCTTTGTCGGTAGTCTTGCTTGGTGCTACTAAGGCATGGGCTGATGACTTACCATCCATCCCCGCTTATAGCCTGTTCCGAAGATCAAAAGAGGGTTGTCTGGCATTTTCTTCTTCTTTTCTTTTTCCCTTCCCTTTCCAGTCCAAAGAAATGAATGCGCAATCTCCCAACAGAAGTCACTTGCCAGCCGCTTAAATAGAATCGGTCCTCCACCTCGCATTCCATAAAACCAGTTCCCTTTTCTCCATCTTATTCGACATTCACCTTGTTTATTTTCTTTCGCCACCTATTCCTCCTGATCCAATACATTATATATCGCGCCACCTCGCTCCTGGGTTGATCGCCATCTTGACTATACTTCGTAAGGTAGTTAATCGTACCTTACTTAGCCTAACGGCCCCCTTCGCGCCCGATCTACGTCACCCCACTTGCTCTGCCTCGCGACATCGAACAGCTCGTTACACGACTTCCAGCTACATACCGAAACCTCACCAGCCTTTACAACAATACATCGATATCATTTTCTATACCTCCAACATGATGCAGCAGCTTCCTTTGAGTATTGTCCAGATCCTTCTGATCGTGGCGGCGGTGCTCAGCTTCATCGAGCTTGCCTTGACCGCTGCAGGTACGTACAGAGAAATGATGCATCCCCTACACCTCGGATGCAGACATCTACAACTATGCTCTCTTCCATCGCCCATTACTACTACTGCGACGACGCTTTATCCCATTCCCATATTTCCATGCCCCCCCTTCCCCCCCTCATTTGTTATAACTCGACCCTGTCTAACGTTTTCTTGCGTGCCACTCTTCTAGCTGCCGACGGTTTCGGTCCCTTCTCTCACCATACCGTCAATTTTATGGTCTTCAACTCGGTCTGGTCGCTACTCGTCATCGCCTACCTCGGCCTCACCCCCATCTTCTTCGCGCAGCTGTTCCACCAGTTCGCGTCCCTCGCCCTCCTGGGCGTCACCACCATCTTCTGGTTCGCCGGGTCCATCGCCTACGCCTCCCTGGTCGGCCCCGCTAGGTGCGGCGGCTTCAACCTGTGCAGGGTCGCCCAGGCCGGCGCCGCATTCGGCTTCTTCGTTTGGCTCGCCTTCACTGCCCTCCTCGTGCTCGATATCATCGATTTCGTGCGGTCGCGCAACAGCGCCACTAGCCCCGCCGTCGCGCACCCTCAAATGGGCTCCGCGGCGCCTGCGTCTGCCGAGGCGCCCCCTGCTCCTGCCAACACCTATCCCGGCGCGTGAGTTTAGCACGCGCTTGGGGTCCGATGGCGAGGCTGGGAGAAGCAAAGAGAGAGAGAGAGAGAGAGGCGAGAGTGTGATCGCTCGGGCAGTCTATTTCTAATCTCACTTGCTCCGACTCGTCTATTCCGATAGAGTGCGGAGGAGGTGGGGGTTGCGAATGAACATCGATTATGTTCTCGATTGCGGGTGTATGCGGATGCACGTTGCCGGGACCTAAGATTGGACAAAGGCACCGGTAAGGAGGAATGTTGTTGAACCATGGTTCTGCAAGGCGCAGACTGAGGAGATACCCTTTGTTTTTTGTTTTTCTTCTTCTTCCTACTCTCCCTTTTTTTGGGGTTATTTTCCCTTATGATGTTATGTTGGTTGGATGCTTGGTAATGGGATATGGGGCTGCCGGGGGACCAAGTGCCATGATACACATCGCTTCGGTTGCAGCGCAGAACTTCAACGAGCTGCGTACTAGTAATGGTCGGCTACATTCGTCGTGGTCTAAGGTAGATGATGGTCGGTCCTGAATTGAACCCGTCAAAGTCCCAGTTCAGGAATCGAAACCGTTCGAGAGTACCGAGTACTATATTAACTGCTCTTTCACAGACCATTTCTTTGATACTCGTATATGTGATGGCATCAGTCCATAGGTTTTCGAAACATGTACGCCTGTTTGTTCATTTGATTTTTTGCAGTTCAAACACGAAGGAATTATAATGTCCGCGATGCGCCGGCCGACTACCTGGAGTTCCGCAGAACCATGGGTTGATTTATACTCGCACTAAATAAGGTAAGCTCCTTTTAGATTCCCGCCCGGGGCAAATTACGGCACATGTCTGCCGGAGCTCCATCAGGATGCGCTGTCACATAGGGACGATGTGTTGTTACCCAGTTATATACTTCGTACTTCGTGCCTTCCTCTAACGTACGTACAACGTAGCTCGTCACATAAATATGCGTCCAAACACGTCGTCGGACCTACCTATATCTACGGATACATAAGTCATCAATGTCATACGTTGAGCAAATTCCCGCTGATGGAGTGGGTTCATGATCTACCGTAGTGAAGAGGGAAAACAAGAAATCTCCCCGGCCAGCTTTGAGCCCTTAAAGTCCGGTTGTTCGTCGGGAGGCGAGAAGTTGACCCTGTGGACAGAACCTCTTCAATGGTGTACCTAAGCTTGGTGACCGAGTTCTCGTCGACGAATAGCAACCTTGGAACACAGCACGGTGTATCTCTGGTACGAATCCTGGCACCCACGAATGTCGAGGACATGTGCCAGTAAGGTACTTTAGTACGGATACCTCGGCACTTCTTCTTCTTCTTGCTCTCTCTTCAGATCCTCTCTTACCTCATCCACTTCGGCAACGATACATCATCGTTTCCCATTCGTATTCCCATCGTCGGTGTAGTACATCTACTTATAGGTATACAACATTTCCCCAAATACTAAAGCACATCACATATTCGCAGATTCATCGGCTCGTGGTACCTAATCCGTACTGTTTCCCGCCCCGCCCCGCCCCGATAGCTCCCATTTCTTGACCTCCTTCTAAAAGCGTCTTCCATGCGCGTTCTCCTCCTCCCCCACGTGTCTCGAAACATTGGTCGTCCATTCGCTCCAATCGGGAAGAAATCCTCAAGCTTCTCTGCTTCTCTTTCCCCATCGAGGCCCAGGCTTGTGCCTCGCTGTGCTTGTCTGGTCGTGTCCTTCATGACGCCTCCCGGGGACGACCATGTTGTGTCCGTACTGGATCATGAATCTGTGATTCCTACCTAGATCAAGCGAGGCCTTTGCCACTATGCCGGGCTCTTGGAAGCTTGGAAGCGAGTCGAGAAGACGGGTTGGAAAACGTCAACCCCTGCAGGCACGTTCCCAAGAGGATCCCACTGGGTCCCGCCAATCCATCACGCCAAAGGAATACGACGGAGAGAACATGGATTATTACCTGGTACTAATTATTATGGAGTTGCTCCTTCATGCGGCCCCATACACGTTTTCTTCGAGCTCCTGTTTATTATTAAGAGCTAATTCGAACTACAAAAGCACGGGTTATGCTGTTTGCGTCCCCTCTCCTACTCCCCCCTCTCTACCCCTCGCCCTCGCCCTCGCCCTCGCCCTCTTGCCGATCTTGCCCTTTCCTCCCTCGGCTCTCTCATCTTCTGGACCTCCTTCCCCTGTCAATCGACCCCTCAATTGGTCCTATTTGAAGACGAATCACCCATTGGGGGCAGGAAACCATGCACGTCAAGGCCGCCGTCATCTCCGGCCTCGCCGCCGCCGCCCAGGTGAGCGCGAGGGCTCCCTGCAAGAGCAGGTTCAACTACACCTCCATCGAGCACATCGACGTCGGCGTGCGTCCCTACTGGCTCATCGACGAGATGAGGGACGGCCCACTCAAGGAGCAGCTCCGGGAATGCGCCAGCATCAAAGAGTTCAAGGCCAGCCCCTGGAATATCGGCCATCGCGGCGGTGGCACGCTCTTCATCCCCGAGCACTCGCTCGAGTCCAACCTGGCCGGTGCGCGCATGGGCTCCGGCGTTCTCGAGTGCGACGTCGCCTTCACCAAGGACCGTGAGCTCGTCTGCCGCCACTCCCAGTGCGACCTCCACTATACCACCGACATCGTCACCCGCCCCGAGCTCAACGCCAAGTGCACCGTCCCGTTCCAGCCCGCCGCCGACGGGGAGCCCGCCCAGGCCCAGTGCTGCACCTCCGACATCACCGTCCACGAGTTCGAGACGCTCTGCGCCCGCATGGAGGGCGCCAACGACCAGGCCACCACGCCGGAGGAGTACCTCCTCGGCGCCCCCCTCTGGCGGACCGAGCTCTACGGCAAATGCGGCAAGGTCCTGACCCACAAGGAGCACATCCGACTGACCGACGAGCTGGGCCTGCTGTTCGCCCCGGAGCTCAAGACCCCCGAGGTCGAGATGCCCTTCGAGGGCGACTACACCCAGGAGGACTACGCCCAGCAGATGGCCGACGACTACCGGGCGCTCGGCATCGACCCGTCGCGCGTCTTCCTCCAGTCCTTCCTCTACGACGACGTCCTCTACTGGGTCCAGAACGACCCGGAATTCGGCCGGCAGGCCGTCTTCCTCGACTCGCACGGCGAGACCCCGGAGACCATGCCCGGCGCCATCGCCAACCTGACCAACTACGCCGCCGACGGTGTCAACATCGTGGCCCCGCCCCTCTTCTACCTCGTCACCGTCGGCGAGGACGGCACCATCGCCCCCAGCGAATACGCCGTCAAGGCCAAGGAGCTCGGCTTGGACATCATCGCTTGGTCCCTGGAGCGTAGCGGCATTCTCAGCGACCAGGGCCGCGGCGGCTACTATTACGGTTCCATCTCCGACCTCATCACCACTGACGGTGACGTCTTCGAGCTGCTCCATGTCCTTGCCCGGGAGGTCGGCATCATTGGCATCTTCACTGATTGGAGTGCCACCGTTACTTACTACGCCAACTGCTTCGGCTTGATCTAAGCGGGGCGGTGGGAGTCTCTCTCGGTGGTCCGTAGAAAAGATTGAAGAAAGGGGGCGCCACTCGCATGGCTGCCGCGAGGGCACTGTAACGTATTTATGTGAAAGGAGCTGGGTCTATAGCCGGCGGATGATAAAGACGGGCTTGGTGTGACGAACCAGGCACGATGTAATCCATAGTCTTTTATGAAAAAGAAAATAATGAGAGGAAGTTGTCGGTAGACGGGCTGTCGCTGACAACGTATGGCGAACGTATGGAAAACATTCCGACCCAAGGGAACTGGCCGACGACTCAAGTCGTGTCATAACATAGTTCTGACACAAAATGCAGAGCTTTTCCTTATCAAGGGCCTGCTAGTTATTTCCCATGTCGGTCGCAGGGGAAAGACAAACCAGAACTTCACAACTCGTCATTAGTCGGGAGCATCCTCTCCTCCCTTGCCCTCGTCCGCTCCCTCTCACCCCTCAAGCCCTTACTGACCGCCTGGAGGTGTTCAAATTTGGGAGCATCCTCCCCCAGCCCCCACGCAAAAACGCCTCCAAGGGCCCTCTGGTCGACAATAAGGGGAAACTTGCGAAGGATAGCATCGAGCGTATCGAAGGTCCACCAGCGATGTTCCTCTTCGTCCCAGTAGTAGTGTCCCCCCTCGCGCTCATCGTACCTCCCCCCCTTGAGCGCGCGGGCAAACGAGGCAGCTTCCCCTTCTGGAACGGGGTCATGCCAGCTAAACCCACCCGTCCGGCCCAAGTCGGCACCCATCTCGGGATCCTCGAGGAGCAGGGTCGGGCAACCGACCGGGTTCGCCGGATCCGGGCAAGGGCCGGTCTCGACCCACTTGACGTAGAAGGCAAAGCCCAGGTTGAGCTTCTCTGCGGGGACGCCCCGCTCGAGATAGGCGTCGATGGCGGCCAGGGAATTGGAGACGCCGGTGTGGTGTTTGGTCACGTTGTCGCGGCGGTTCATGAGGTCGTAGGTCATGACGTTGATAAAGTCGAGCTGGTCGGCGATGCGGGGCGTGGTGGACTCGGTGAAGGCGATGAGGTCGCGCCGTAGGCCGGGGACGGCTGCTGAGATGAGCTTCGAAGGGCCGAGGGTCCGTCGGAGGGCTTCGAGGAGAAGGGGGTAAGCTTCGATTTGCCATTCTTTTTCGGAGTTTGGGACTTCCTTATAGTCCTCGCCGTTGCCTCTGATGTCGAGATTTTTTTGACACCGTTAGCTCTTTAGGTGTATGGGTGGCTTTGACCTCGAGTTAAATTGTCGACTTACCCCGGATATTCCCAGTCAATGTCAACACCTGTTGGGCGCCTCCGTTAGCATAGTGAAGTTGCTGCAGTATCGGCCACTCTCGCACGAAAGACTGACCGTCCGCGCCCATCGCCTGGACCATGGCAGCCACGTTCCGGACCCATCGTTCTCTAGAATCAGCAGTCGCCGCAGCCTCTTCAAAACCGGCAGTGTCACCCCATCCACCGATGGCCACCATGATCTTGGTGCCAGGAAGAAAGTGAGACCGGGCCTTTTCAACGGTGGTAAATAGCGGCCATTCAGAAGGGTTCTCGTCCGTATTAAACACGTTGGAGCGCATAAAAGCGAGGGCTACATGCGTCACTTCAGATAGAAGGTCTTGGTTTGGCACGACATTGTGTTGACTCCCATCATTTAGTTGCTATCGTTCCCCGGCGTGTCTTGTGAAAGTGAGGCGTCAAAATTCTTACCCAGTGAGGTACATGATGCATCTCTTAGTTGATAAGACGTCGGCGACGGTATGGGAAAATGCCATGGTCGTCCATACTAAGGCGGTTGAGAGGAGCAAACGGATCTCCATGGCCTCGTGAGCGGTGGATGGGCACTGGCGGATGCCGCAGGGGAGGGTAACCTGTATAATTGTGCAGTTATATGTAGGCACGAGAAAGAAAATGGAACCCTGTAATTACTCTGCAAGGTAGCTTTAAGGACTAAGCAATCCTGGCAAATGGTGAGGTCCAAGAGCCAGACATCAAGGTATAGATTTGGATGGCTTGAATATCGAGGTGATCTCACTAGGACGTTCCCCGCACCAAAGCTGCAGCAATCAGGGCAGCTATTAAGCTAGGTACTAGGTATGCGGGGTAGCTTCCTCCGAGACCGTCTTGCTTTTCGGTGAAAGCGGCATTAAAATCGGGGGTCCAGGTCCACACCGAATGAGGTACTCCACACGAAGTACACGTACTTTGTATCCTTATTATCGATAAACTGAAAGTTGCATATAATTTTTTTCTTTTCTTTTTTTCTTTTTTCTTTTTTTCTCACCGAGTGGAAAGACGACCCATGACATCCGAGATACTACTTCTACCCAAAAGTAACTCGTCCACTGACACTTCCTCTTCTTATTTATCTTCTCAGCTTTTTCTTTTGAAGCTCTACGGTATCAATTGACACAGCCATGTTGGAAAACCTCTGCACATTGCCGCTCAATGCGGATGTGTTTACTACGGCGCTGCATCCCTCCAAGCCTCTGTTGACGATTGGGCTCGCCAATGGCCGCGTCGAAACATTTCGTCTTCCCGCGGTCAGCTCAAGCGAAAACGACGGTGACGACGACGACGACGACGACGACGATGATGCTACTAAAGCTAACAAGGCAAAGCCTCCGGTCAATGGACGCAGAAGTCTGGCGGAGATCGGCAGGGGTACCATCGACAGCATTTGGCAGACTAGGCGGCACAAGGGGAGTTGCCGAACTCTAGCATACAGCTACGATGGGGCCGGTAAGCTGCGTGTCCGCGTTTTTATCTTTGTATCTTTACTTCGGTTTCCCCTTGATTATTTCTGCTTTGTCGTTTTTCGAAGCAAGTCTCCTCGGGCTGTTTACTTCTAGTTTTGTGTCCTAACTGCACGTTCGTGTTAGCCATGTACTCCGCGGGCACCGATGGTCTGGTCAAGCACTTCTCTCCCGAAGACGGCCGAGTCATCAGCAAGATGGCCATCCCTTCCCGGTCAGGCGAACCCGACGGTCCCAGCATGCTCCACGCGCTCAACCCGCAAGCGCTCCTCCTCGGATGCGACTCGGGCGCGCTGCACCTCATCGATCTCCGCGACGGCGCCCCGGGCCAGAAGCCGGCGCAGACACACTTCCCGCACGACGACTACATCAGCGCCGTGGTGGCCATGCCGCCCACCGCGGAAAGCACCTCGGGGGTGCCCAAGCAGTGGATCACGACGGGGGGCACGACGCTCGCAGCAACGGACTGGCGGAAGGGCGTGATGAAGCGGTCCGAGGACCAGGAGGACGAGCTCCTGTGCGCCACGTTCGTGCCGGGCATGGGGCCGAAGAAGAACAGGAACAACGGGATGGTGGCGGTCGGGACGGCGACGGGGGTGGTCACGCTGTGGGACCGCGGCGTGTGGGACGACCAGCAGGAGCGCATCGTGGTGGACCAGGCGCGGGGCGGCGGCGAGAGCATCGATGCGCTGGCGCTCGTGCCGCAGGAGCTCGGCTGGGGCAAGAAGCTGGTCGTGGCGGCCGGCGACGGTACGCTCCGGGTGGTGGATCTCGTTAGGCGGAAGCAGGATTCCGAGCCCGGGTCGATTCTGCGGCACGACGACGCGGAGGCGGCCGTGTCGGTGGCGTTTGATTGTCACAACCGGCTCATCAGCGCGGGCGGGAAGACCATCAAGGTCTGGCAGGAATTGTCGGAGCTGCAAGGCGGCGGGAGTAGCGAAGACGAGGACGACGACGAGGAGGAGGACGACGACGATAGCGACGATGAAGGCGCGGGCGGCAGTGGCAAGAGGGCAGCGGACAGTGACGACGAGGACGATGACGACAGTGATGATTCAGATGGGCCCAGGAAGAAGCGAGGCAAGCGGAGGAAGACGCCTAAGAAGCCGTCTGAGTTTTCATTCCCGGGTCTGTAGTCTCACTGATGGACGTGGAGTCGAGGTGGGGTGTTTGTAAACGTGAACTTCATCATTGGTAGATACCCTACAGTTTCTATGCTTACTTTCAAACTGACTCTACGTTCTATGGGTTGGTGATGTTATGAAAAAAAAAAAAAAAAAAAAAAAAAAAAAAAAAGGCAATGATGGTAGATACAAGACTCCAGTCCAAACTCTGGTCCGTCCAGACGGACTGCTGGTCCTTTGGTCCTCCGATCCCATAAGTAGTCCCTTCATAATTAGCCCACGTAAATGGTACAGATAATGACAAGTCGGCTATCTGGATTCCCGTTGGTCCGGGTGCCTAGACGTCTTTTCGTCGCCGGCGTCCGGTGTCTCCCGGTCGCTACCATCAACAGTTTCGCCGTGGGTCCCTACCGAAGTCGGACCTTGCCGTGAGGAAGAGAAAGAAAGGAAGGGAAAAAAAAAAAAAAGCCACAGCAAATGACAACATTAAAACAACACTCCAATGACAAGACAGACTAATAACTAGGTGGTATGAAGTGTCGCCCATGTGGCACGCGATTCCCGACGCCCAGAGACTCGGGAAACCCAGCGAAGCCAGTAAAAAAAAAATTAAGCTTCATTTTTAGGGGTTTTGTGAAATGCCCTGGACTGCTTATCAGGAAGAAACACTGGATTCGTTCTGTTAACTTGTACCCATGCGAAGTTCGGAGTACGCGGTGGAGTCGTGACATGTTGGATTTCTTATCTTCGTCGAATCAGAGCCTGGCCTGACGCAAAGCAGGGAAAGGTGGGGGAGAGAGCGTGCGCCGCGATAGCTAAGGTACCTAGGTACCTGGTGTGGTAGAACAAGCCATACACCTCTACAAGGATCTAGTATATTAGCGCGTATACAGACTAATATGACTGGCTAGGGATAACAGGGGGGCCCACTGGGTAGAAGTATATCCAAACACATATAAACTATAGGCAAATTTAAGTATATAAATATATATAAATAAAAAGTTATCTCACTACTATTATAGCTATCACGATAATCAAAAATCAGTATCTCCCCTATCCCTCTTAATAACCTGATATAGGCGGGCGGGCATCGTATAAACTATACTCTCTAGAAAACTCCTATTAATAGCCTCCCACGCAGCCTTAATTACTGCTTTTAGCTCCTCTAACCCTATCCACTATAGCTATAGATACTAACGTTTAATCCAGCTCTTTATCACGAACTATACGTGCTCTATAGGAGCGAGGTTAGGGGAGTAGGGTGGGTAGTCGAGTAAGATAATATCGTGGTCCCGGAACCACCTCTTCACCTTTAAGGATCTATAAAAGAGGGCACCGTCGTGCTAATATATCCTATACAGCAGACGCTCTTCTATAAAGCTATTAATCTTTAGGTAGATAAACTCGACGAATCTATCCCTATTAACGCCTTTATACTCCTTAGGCCAGATATAATAGGGCCCCTTTATACGCCCTATAATATAACCCCAGAATATCTATCCCTCGGGGTTCCTCCGAAGTAGTAGGAAGTCTTTAGGGCGTTCTATATCGTGAATAGTTACCCACTACTTCTAAAGGGGGTCGTTTATAGCCTAGGTCTTATCGGCTATAACGATAGTATTATTAACCTAATCGTCTAGAGTTAGGAAGAGCTCTAGTATATCCTAAGTAAAGGATACACGCTTACGTCGGTGGACTTCCTCGAGATAGATACGGCGTGGGCGGATATAACGTGAATACCTAAGATCTTTTATCGCGGAGTATATAGCGATATCGCTATATAAGGCGAGTCTAGGTATAAGAAAGCGTAGATCGCCCTAAGCATATATACGGTGGAGGGGGTCTTACTAAAGCTAGTCGTGTAGCCGATATCGTAGAGGCGTGCGGATCTTCTTCTTCCTAGCCCTAGACTTCTAAGGCGTGGTAGTAGTAGTGCAGGCGTGCTATACTTAACGTATCGTGATCTTCTGCCCTATACTTCGAGAGGCAGCGTTTACTATCTCACAATAGCTCTAGCCTATAATACGTCGAAGGCCACAAAGCTCTACCCTAATATCTCTAGATAGCTTAGAAGATTGTGGGCCTCGTGTCTATAGCTACAGAATCAGTAGTAGTGCCTCCTTACGCCTAGCCTAGAGAGAGCGGCTATTTACGCGGTTTTATCGCACCGTATAAGGAGAGGCAGGAGGGCTATAAACCCTTTTATCGGGTATAATACTACTAGGGAATTCGTCGACGATAGGTAGACGACGAAGCTATAGAGGTGTGGATAGGCGTTAGATCTATACGTCCTTAATGCTAGTCTCAGGAGCATTAGATGATAATAGGGCGTTAAGAGAAGTTATATTATAAAGGGCTGCTTCTATAGAATCTAACGATAGCTTTAAAATACGGATTACGAATAAACTAGTAAAGTTATAAGTAGTTAAAGTTAGACTGTTTATCGGTTAGATAGTAATAGCTTCACTTAAAGATGCCTTCGTGATGTTAGGTCTACTATTATTATATATCTTTATACCTGCCTATATAAAATAGGTGGAAAAGTACGGATCGGCAGGCTAATCTAATAAGCGATTAGGACGTGGGGCAATTCACACGCTAATATACTAGATCCTGGCAGAGGTGTACATATGTAAGGTATAATTATGTCTGTCCGACCTACGGAAACAAGCCGCTCCTTTGCCACACTCCGCCCAATGCCAACCCTTTTTCCCCTGTTCCCTTTTTCCTCTTCTTACCGGGCCGCATTTTGCAAGCCCGGAACCCTCCCAAGTTCACCGGACGGATCCGGGGACAACCGCAGCGTCGTCCCAAAGTCGGCAGGTCCCTTATGAAGCGCAACACAGGTCCATACCTACTGTATACCTTTCTTCACCAACACAACTGTCTCGGCCACCGGAGAGTTCCCTCCCCCCCACGCGACAGACACGCCCAGACAGGCCCAAAACAACCTGTCGCTCCCTTACCCCAAAGTGGCGAGCTGGAGATGGGCGGCAGAGAGAAGAGTCTGAAGAGAGGATGGCACAACGTGATGTGCAAACATTAGCCTTTCTCCATCCCATTCTGCCTATAGAGCATAGTTCGGGGATCTCCCTCGTCCATGAACCGGCGACATGCGAACTGCGAACTCGGAGCAGCATCCCGCGCCACACGCAAACAACCCACACACCACCTAGGAAGCCATTCAGGATCAGATCCTAATGATACTAAGCGCGGAACCACCGCGGACGGTTCCTTGCGACATCTCGTGATGGGCCGCCCCTCTCCAGGCCCACTTCCTGCTGGACACCGGCAATGGCTCATCTCCTCGTTCCCACTGATAGCAGCCCTGACATGGTGTATGGGTTATTTCTTTTCGTCAACTGCCTCTGATAGCTAGTAGAACACTGACATGCCGCGGGTTTTTTTTTCTTCGTCCCTTTTCCCCGTCCACCTTGTCTTGAAGTCGGATTATTGTTCACTGTTGTAACGGCTCAGCGACCTGCATAAATACATCGGGGATTCGTCGTCGCGGACGTTCGTTCCTTGTTCCTCGCCGATCCCATCTAGCGTCCCTGGCATTTCTTGTTACTTACGGGCCAAGAGTCGAGATATTCTGGGGCTACCAAGGAAGAGTTGACTTGACGTATATATATGGTCTCTCTTGTGCCCTGTCAGAGCCATCACACACCAACCCTTCACTCCAGTCTACGATAACAAGCCACAACCGACGAACGTCAAGCGGGCGCGAATTCTGTTGTCTGTCCATCTGTCCCTCGGTCCAGACATTGAAGAGAGTGCAAGCCTGCTTTCTCTCCCTCCCTCGTAATTCATTTACCGGCTGTTGCGAATCATACCCAGGAAGAAAAAAATGGACGAGGATCAAGGTCCGTCCCGTATCGTCCCTGGGACGACCTCAAAGAAGACCATCGGCGACCGGATACGAAGCATCAAGCGGGCTTTCTTTACCAAAGAGGGTCTCATCGGCACCTACGACTATGCCTTCCTCTTCACCCCCAATATTCCCTTCATGAAGCGGTCACGCCACAGCTCCCCGTTCTTCGGCCTCAATGACCGGATGCCCGTTCTCCTCGCCTTGCTTCTCGGGTTCCAGCACGCCCTCGGTATGGCTTTTTTTTCTTCTTTTGTTTTGTTTTCAGAATCCTAGCGGGAATCGGATAGAGTGAGAATCGAATCTGACACCCCTTCCATCGCAGGCATGCTGGCTGGTGTTATTACTCCTCCTCTCCTCATCAGCGGCGCCGCTGGTGCCAATCTGGACCCCGAACTGCAGCAATATCTCGTTTCCACCGCGTTGATCGTGTCCGGAACGCTGTCAATGATCCAGATCACTCGATTCCATATTTACAAGACGCCGTACGTATTACATGGTTCTGATTCTTTCACCCGTGCATCTGTGCTTCTTTCGTTTCCCGCGCCCGCTTTCTTGTTTGTTGGCTGACTTGGTCTCGTCGCTTCCTAGCTACTATATTGGCACCGGCTTGCTCTCGGTCGCCGGTATCAGCTTTTCCATCATTCCCGTCGCGCAAGGAGCGCTAGATCAGATGTACAACAACGGCTTCTGTCCCGTAGGCGCGGATGGCGCCAAGTTGCCCTGTCCCGACGGCTATGGTGAGGGTTTTTTTTTTTTTTTTTTTTTTTTTTTTTTCTTCTTCTTCTCCCGCCGCTTTCCTTCCTGCCGCCGGCTAATTCAATGCTTTTCCAGGCGCCATTCTCGGCACGGGCGCAATAACTGCCATCCTCATCATCATCCTGGCCTTCATCCCGCCGCGCATCCTGTTGCGCATCTTCCCTCCCATCGTCACCGGTCCCACCGTCCTGCTGATGGGTGTGAAGCTCATCCAGAGCGGCTTCAGGAACTGGATGGGAGGCACTGGGCCCTGCTCTTCGCCCTCCACCGCCGTTGGCTTCTTCGAGCGCTGCCCGAATATTGCCGCCCCTAACGCCCTGCCTTGGGGGTCTCCGGAATACTTTGGTCTGGGTTTCTCCGTCTTCGTCACCATTATTCTTTCCGAGCGCTTTGGTTCCCCCATTATGAAGTCCTGCTCCGTCATCGTCGGCCTGCTTGGTGAGCTCTTCTTCTTCCCTTATTCCCTTCTTCTCTTCTTCTCATACTGATCCTCTTGCTCAGTCGGCTGCATCATTGCCGCTTCGACCGGATATTTCGATCGCTCCGGTATCGACAATGCGCCTGTCGCCTTGTTCATCTGGGTGCACACCTTTAAACTCACTCTGTACGGTCCTTTGGTACTCCCTCTGATGGCTGTTTATATCATCTGGTACGAAAGACTCCTCCCGTTTCCCCTTCGCGCTCAACAATGGTTCCCGTGTCCCAAATGGGTTTTAACTAACCTCTTCCCTCCCCTCCGCCCAGTGCTACCGAGGCCATCGGTGATATCACGGCCACATGCGATGTCTCCCGAGTTGAAGTTCACGGGCAGACCTACGAATCCCGCATCCAGGGCGGCGTGCTGGCTGACGGCCTCAACGGCATCCTCGCGTCCCTCATGACCCTCACCCCTGTGACCACCTTTTCCCAGAACAACGGCATCATTGCTCTTACTCGTTGTGCCAGCCGAGCCGCCGGCTATTGCTGCTGCTTCTTCCTCATCATCATGGGCATCTTTTCCAAGTTTGCCGCCTCGCTCATCTCGATCCCTTCTCCTGTCCTCGGGTTCGTCTTTTCCCCACTCCCTCGGCAGAACCCTTTTGTTTCCGCATTAATTGGGTGGAACGAGCACAACTTTTTTTGCTGACGATTGTGAAATGAACAGCGGCATGACCACCTTCCTCTTCGCCAGCGTCGCCGTCTCCGGCATGGCCATCATCAACAGGGGCGTCGTCTTCAACCGCCGCAACCGCTTCATCCTGACCGCCGGTTTCGTCTTCGGCTACGGCGGTATCCTGCTGCCCGGCTACTTCGCCAACGTCCTGCCTTACGACGGGGACAACACCGGCCTGCGCGGCTTCCTGGACGCCATCACCCTCATCGTCGAGACCGGCTTCGCCATGACCACCATCATCAACATGGTCCTGAACCTTGTCCTCCCCGAGGAGATTGACGAGACCGATGCCGCGCCCGTCCCCATGGAAGCCGTGAGGCCTGGCGGCGAAGGGAGCGCCCGTTCCACTGACTCGGATGACATCCTTCCCACGCGTCATGATTCTACCAGCAAGGGGGAGGAGAAGGTGTACTGAGAAAAGGGGGGGGGGGGCGCGGCGATATGAGCGGGTTGCAGATCTATTTCATATATCGAGACTTATCATGATATCCATGTGAGAATGCCAGAGAATGATTTTGTTTATGACCAAGTTGCTATTTTTGCCTTTCCCCTGTAGTGATCCTGCCATTGAGTGTTGTTCTCCTTTCGTTCCCCATGGTGCAACTCTACCACGCTCTCTCCCTTCCACGTCTTAATCAAAGGAGTATTGGAAAATCCGAGGGCGCAACGTCTACCCGAGTGCTCGCATTGGGGGTTCTTATTCAGAAAGAGTGTGCTGGCAAATCCCCCTTATCCCGGGATTCTATCGTCAGAGCATCTCTCTCTTTAATTTACACTTTAAAAGGAAGTCGCCTAAAAGTATCTATCGTCACTGTGCCCTCCCCTATTCACCGAGACTCCTAGAATCCTTTCTGGTATTGTGTAGACACCGAAGACCCAAAAAACCAAAAATCTCCTCCTTCGAAGTAAGCCCCCAAAAGGCACGCTCAAGCGCGCCCTCGCAATGATTATCTACCGATTATATATGAATCGTCCCTCACGAGTCAGCATGGGGAGTGGAGCGTGCCAGGAAGCGGATATTGTCCAGGAACCCCTCTACAAGCTCCTGATATCGGTGAGGTCGGCCGGATTGGGCCCTTCGAGCCTGGTCAATGGTAATGGTCGGGTCAAGCTCAATTTCGAGCTCATGCTCTTTATCCAGGCGTTGCGTATTCTGAGATGCACACACGTTAGCCAGCGAAGAATGGACCAGCGAAAAGAAAGTCCCGATATGACAAGGGAGGAGGAGGAGGAGGAGGAGGAGAAGGAGAAGGAGGAGAAGGAGAAGGAGAAGGAGAAGGAGGAGGAGGAGAGAAGAGGAGAGCAAATGGGACATACACCAGGACCGGGGACCGTCTGAGTCACCTGGGTAAGATCAATCTGATAATGACTGTGCGTGTAGCTGAGTCGATCCTTGTTGCGGTCGGGGAACTTGATGCCGTGCCCAATGGCAATCTGCTCGAGTTCCTCGAGTGGCCCATCCCACGCCGTCTCCAGGTTGACGCTGATGCGGCAGTCGAGCGGCGCGTTGGGCATGTGCAGGTGAAGGTCGGCCACCCTCGCCTTCACGATTTTATTCAACGGTTGGCCCGTCTTCTGGTCGAACGTTACGCGGACCTTGACGGAGTGCTTAGAATTGAGATAGGACCGGACGCAACCCGGGAGCCGGCCCTGTAAGCTGCTGGGGATTTCGAAGAACCTGTCCACCTCCCGGCGGTGTTTGTAGTGGACCTGGACGCGGCCGCGAGCTTTGGGGTCCGGGTTTTGTGGGTTCGTCTTGACGACTTTGTCGTTCAACCAATCGTTCAATACTTTGTGTTGTGCCTAGTTTGTCTCGTGAGTTTACGCCCAACAAGTTCAGGAACAACAGAAAGGAGAGGAAGGTATATAAAAGATCGAGGTGAGAGACATACCTCGGTCATGCTACTGCGGAAGGCGAGCCTCCCCGTGTCCTGAAGGATGCATTCCGTAGCGATAAACTTCATCACTCGGTCGTTCGTGTCCTTGTCTATTAACGTGCCCAGCTTGGCCTCAATCTCGAACTGGATGCCGCGGCTCGTTATTTCGCCCGCAACTGGGGACGCGATGACGTTGACAAAGAGGAAATCCGCGATGGCCTTGGATATCTCTTCCATGGGCTTGACGCCCGTGATGCTGGGCTCCCAGGGGCCCAAGAGATCTTCCGCGGCATTTCTGGGTTGCGCCTCGGCCGCTTGCGGCGGCTGGACGGGTCGAGCGACTTCGGGCGAGTTGCGGCGACTGTCCTCTTCCTGCTTGACCTGCTCCTGTCTCGCAACGACCTTGTCCGGCTTTCCGTTCAAACTGGGCGGTCCCCGCTTTTGGAGTTCAAGATTGCCCTTGTTGAGTCGCCGATTCTCCCGCGAATCGTATTTATGCGCCCATGGGGGAGGAGTGGAATATCGAACCGGTTTCTTGCGCAGGGGTTGAGCCGCAGGAGCCCGGGGCTGCACGCCCGGATCGTGGGAAAAGGTCGTATGGCCACCGTTCACCTGTCCCGGAGGCGGCCGAGTATTTGTCTTCTCGAGCTCACCGGGGCTCAGATCCCGGTCCGCAAGTTTTCGCTTGGCTGGGGTGTGGGCTCTTTCGCGTTCGGACCCTCCCGACAGGATAGCAGCACCAGGCAGAGCCAGTCGAACGTCGGAATCTACCACTGCGCTTGCGGCACGTACTACGGGCTGTCCGCCGGCAGAGCTTGGAAGACTGGGTATGCGGGTTTTGGGGCTGACGCTAACGCTCCTGTCGCGTTCGCTGGTGGACTGAGACCCTCGGTGGGGTTCTCCGGCTCGTGGGTCATGGGAGATGGAGATGGAGGTCGAGGTGGAGGCACGCGGCAAGGCGGGGGGTGTGGCGTGGGTCTGAGAAAGCTGTGACGCGTTGACAGTCATTCGTTGTTGGTAGGGGCTAGGTGGTTGCGCGAAGTTTGGGGGCCCAGATGATAGCTGTCTCTGATGCGGGCCGGCTGACGACGGGGGCCCGAGTGGCGTCGGCGGTTGAGACGTCTGTCGGTTGTATTCACCGGGAGGGGGAGGCTTGTTGGCCGGAACGGGGCTGCCGTGAGGGAAGGACTGGCCGAAGTGATGCTGGCTTTGCGCCGAGGTTGGGGTGGGCGAAGAATGAGCCGACTGCGATTGCTGGTGCATGTAGGAATGGCTTCCCCCAGGGGTGCCGATGGGAGGTGTCTGTGGCACAGGAACAGGAGGACCGGAATGCTGGTGCTGGTGCTGCTGCTGTTGTTGTTGTTGTTGTTGTTGTGGCATGTACGAGGCAGGTGGGTGGGAAGGAGTCGTCGTCGCACCATGTGGCGCCCCAGGCGTGAGAGCGTAGCTGTCCCGGGAAGGGTATGAGCTGCTGGGCGGAAGGTGCGGGTGTCGTTGCACAGGGCTTGCACTGGCTTCGGACCCGTGGGCCGAGTTGGGTGGAGGCGCTGTTGCTGTTGACGGGAAAGGGTAACCCGCGGTGGCAGAGGAGGACGGCGGGGGTCGGTAAGGTGAAGGTCCCGGACCAGAAGCACTTGGCGACCGGGTGTCACCGTAGTGGGCTTGATGCGGCGGCCCGGCCGGATAAGGCGCGGGGCCCTGGTAGGGGGTTTGGGGAGGGTATGAGGCCGATGCAGACGGGCCGTGAGCACTGTACTCCTGTGGAGTTGGATGCTTGCCCGGGGAGCTGTGCAGGGCGTGGCTGTACGGGGACTCGCGGAAGGCGTACGAAGGAGGGTTGTGGGCGGGAGTTGTCGGGGTCTGAATGGGGGGCGGCGGGTGCTGTTGATGAGCATAGGCAGGCGGCTGTTTGTGGGGAGGAGGGTTGACGGGGACGGGAGGAGCAGGCTTGTCGCGTGGACGGTCGTCGTTTTCCGACGTATTCATTAAGCTCCTGAGATCCATGTTGAGATATCTGGTGGTCGACCGACTGCGGCACTTTTCTCGGTTGTGACCACTCGGAGACCTTTCACAGTCACAAGGATCGTGCTTCGTGTGCCTTGCCTACTTTCCGAGCTCTGTGATTGCCCTGGAGGCCTTTCGGTGACGTCGGTCTTGATATTCTATCGCATATAATCCAAGGCGCAAACGAGTCACATCACGCCAGCATCGGTTCAGGAATCTACTACCGACGAGATGGTAAGCGCAAAATGTATCCGTAACAAGGTGAATGAAGGAGTTCGTAGTGCTATGGCGTGTGGTGTGGCGTGGGGCGGGTGTGGGCGTGGACGTGGACGTGGACGTGGTGTCGTGTCTTGTTCTTCGAGTTTAGGTCTGTTTGACCAGTCGGGTTGGACAAAAGTCGTCGAGATAATTCGCGTCGCAGTCGCAGATGACGATAGATAGTCGCGAATTATGATGAAATCCGACAGTGAACGAGCTATCGATAGTGTCCTTGAGTCAGATGGGGTTGGTCTGACGCGTGTCGCCTTAGGAGGAAAAGAACATTTCGTCTTGCGATGATGACGGCGACATGAATCGCAGACGGTCGTGAAGCCCAGAGACCTGAATGTCGAGTCGGTAGAGAGTGATGAGCGAAGATGTGTGAGAAGAGGTACAAAAGATCGAAGGATATATGCCGTGGATGATAAGAAAGGGGGAAGGATGAATTAAGGCGTTTGTTTGGGGCACGGAGTAGAGTTCGAAGAAGACAAAGAGCAGAGACAAGATGATGCTCTGAGAAGGAATTATTATGGACTTGGCCAACCCAGTCAACTTTTTTGGCCGAATAGGAGCTCGGGGAATTTTCGCTTTTTAACTCCCTTGACTCCCATTCCTAATGCACAATAGAAGTAGTCAGTACCTACTTTTGTTGGGAAACTTTATACAGTAAAGACGTACTGAGTACCTAGCTAATACCTAATTTTCCCTGTCGCTTTTCGTGTAAGTACTTACATGGGTATAAATCCGATTTTTGGCACGTAAGAACTGTGTCACTATACGTGTACGTTGCGAAAGTCTTGGTCTTTGCTGCCAGTTATTCTTGTCTACCTTACAGGTACCTAGTATAGAAAGAAGCCTGTGTAATTAGGTAAGCCGCTGATTGGGTGAAACCCATCACGTACCTAAGGTAGGTAGTGAAGCATCTTGACTCTTGGTCATTGACCGGAAACGGAAAACTGTGTTACGGTCATGTGACTTTTGGGTGGTCCTACTCCGCACTGTCTCGCTTATTCATCCATCCATTCTGAGCTAGCCGTTTATGGTCTGCTAGTCGTTTCGACCTTCCTCTGCAAGGCACCTGTGCCTGACGTGGTTGATGACCTTTTGCTCGCGCCGTCTCTCGCCTCTGCTTTCCTTCCCTCAAACGAGCTCCAACTTCATCACCAACTACCTTTACATCCTGTAACCACTCCCACCTCTCCGTCAATCGGCTCAACTCCTCTCGCCCGTATTGCCGCCATTGTTCCACGGTTGTCTTCTTATTCTTGTCTTTTCTTTTCTTTTCTTTTCTTTTCTTTTCTTTTCTTTCTTTCTTATTGAAAACCAGAGGCTTCTTCTTGTTTCCCTGGTTTTACTTTACCTATCCATCTCGGCAAATCGTGATTGCCGCAGTTACTCTGGACTAGTCCTTTCCACAGCCTATCCCCCAACGAAAACCCCCTCAAGATGCCCGGCCTGGTAACGGCGACGGGTGTGCTAGGCTTCCTCGCCGATGAGGAGGCCGAGCTCAAGGTTTTCGCCTTGCAGACCCTAAACGACGACATCGACACTGTTTGGACAGAGGTTGCAGGGTCCCTTGGCCAAATGTTTGTGCTTTTTTCTCCTTTTTTCCCCCTTTACCCCTATCTTTCGCTTCCCCTCGGGTCAAATAAGTATATCATAAAGCTGACAGGGTTTCTCTTTCTCATCATTGTAGTGAGGCGCTTTATGAGGACGAATCCTTTGCCGAACGCCAGCTGGCCGCCCTCGTTTTGGCCAAGGTCTACTACCACCTCCAAGCTTACAATGAGAGCATGGCCTTTGCCCTCGCCGCCGGCGATCTGTTCAAGCTCGATGCGCCCGGCGAATTCGAGGACACCATTATTTCCAAGTGTATCGACCAATACATCGCCGTCTGCTCCTCCGAACACTCCAGCTCGAAGCCTTCCAAGAATGATGTCTCCCTGCCGGCCCTCGCCACAACCTTCGCTAGCGGCGTCGGAAATGGCTCCGCCGTCATCTCTCCGACAACACCTTTCTCTCAGACCGCGCTCCCGTCCAAGTCTCTTCTATCTCGGGCCTCGGTGGACAATACCATTCTGGACCCTTCCTTCCAACCCGTCAAGGAAGGTCGTTCCGGCTCCATCGCCCCGGTCGCTGACAAGGCCACGCGCGAAGCCCTACAAAGAGTCGTCGAGCGACTCTTTGACGCTTGCCTCAACGAGGGCCGGTACCGGCAAGTGATCGGCATCGCCGTTGAGGCCAAGAACCTGGACGTCCTGAGACGCGTCATCAAGAGGGCTGGCGAGGACGCCGCCTCCTCCAAGGGCAAGTCGTCTGACGGGCCAACTCCGGCGGAGGAGCTCATGGAGTACGCCCTGAGCATATGCATGGACATCGTGCAGGAGCGTGGTTTCCGCCGGGAAATCCTGCGTCTCGTCCTGGATCTCCTGAACGACATCCCGAACCCGGACTACTTCGCCATTGCCAAGTGCGTCGTCTACCTCAACTCCGACGAGGAGGCCTCGCGCATGCTTCGACAGCTCGTCTCCAGCGAAGATCGCAACAACACCACCATCGCCTACCAGATCGCGTTCGACCTTTACGATAACGGGACCCAGGAGTTCCTCGGCAAGATCATCAAGTCTCTTCCGTCCGGCGACCCCCCCAAGCCCAAGCCTGACGCCGCTGAAGGAACCAACGACGCCCAGGAGACCGAGCCGCTCCTGGAGAACCAGGAGCCTGCGAGAGAAGACGCCGAGGAGGTATCAGAGGACCTGGCCAGGGTGTACAAGAACATCCGCTCTATCCTCGTCGGAAGCAAGACCATCCAGCTCAACCTCGAGTTTCTGTACCGGAACAACCGCACGGATCTGAGCATTTTGAACAAGGTCCGCGACAGCCTCGAGGCGCGCAATTCCATTTTCCATACCGCCGTCACCTTTTGCAATGCCTTCATGAACCAAGGCACCACCAACGACAAGTTCTTCCGCGACAACCTCGAGTGGCTCGGAAAAGCCGTCAACTGGTCCAAGTTCACCGCCACCGCCGCCCTGGGCGTCATCCACCGCGGAAACCTTACCCAGTCGAGGAAGTTGCTTGAGCCCTATCTGCCACAGCAGAGCGGGTTGAGCAACGGTTCCATCTTTAGCCAAGGTGGCGCCTTGTACGCCTACGGCCTCATCCACGCCAACCATGGCGCTGACGCTCTCGACTACCTCAAGTCGCAATTTTCGGCGGCCGAGGAAGAAGTCATCCAGCACGGGGGCGCGCTCGGCCTCGGCATCGCCGGCATGGCCACAGGCTCCGAGGAGATCTTCGACAGCCTGAAGAACGTTCTGTTCACCGACTCGGCCCTGAATGGCGAGGCCGTCGGCCTGGCCATGGGCCTGATCATGCTGGGCACTGGCAACGTCAAGGCTCTGGAGGACATGATCACCTACGCGCACGAGACTACTCACGAGAAGATCGTTCGCGGCCTGGCCCTTGGCATGGCCCTGATCATGTATGGCCGCCAGGAAGGCGCCGACGTGATGATCGAGGGTCTTCTCAACGACCCTGACCCAACTCTGCGCTACGGCGGCATCATGACCGTCGCCCTGGCCTACTGCGGCACCGGCAGCAACAAGGCCATCCGCAAGTTGCTCCACATTGCCGTGAGCGATGTCAACGACGACGTGCGCCGGATTGCCGTCATGAGCTTGGGCTTCATTCTTTTCCGGAAGCCCGGCAGCGTCCCCAGGATGGTCGAACTCCTATCCGAGTCGTACAACCCCCACGTCCGATATGGATCCGCCATGGCGCTCGGTATTTCTTGCGCCGGTACCGGCTTGGACGAGGCCATCGACCTCCTCGAGCCCATGATGAAGGACCCTACCGACTTCGTCCGCCAAGGCGCTCTGATCTCCCTAGCCATGATCATGATCCAGCAGAACGAGGTCATGAACCCCAAGGTCGCAGCGATTCGGAAGACCTTGAAGAAGGTCGTCGGTGACCGCCACGAGGACGCCATGACGAAATTTGGCGCGTCTCTTGCCCTCGGCATCATCGACGCCGGCGGTCGCAACTGCACCATCGGCCTCCAGACCCAGTCCGGGAACCTGAACATGGCTGGCATTGTCGGCATGGCCGTATTCACTCAGTACTGGTACTGGTTCCCCTTCACACACTTTTTGTCTCTCGCTTTCTCGCCCACGTCCATCATTGGACTCGACCACGACCTGGACATTCCCAGCTTCAAGTTCCACTGCTCCGCTCGCCCGAGTCTGTTCGACTACCCCCCGGAACAGGAGGTCAAGGCTGAAGAGGGCCCCACCATGGTGGCGACCGCCGTTCTTTCGACTACGGCGCAGGCCAAACGCCGGGCCCAGAAGAAGGAACGAGCTCAGCGCAGAGAGAGCATGGATGTCGACTCTGCTCCGTCGAGCGCCAAGCCGGCTGCCTCGGGTGGAGGTGACAAGATGGATGTGGACGACGACAAGAAGTCCAAGGCCGCGGAAGAGTCGAAGGACAAGAAGGAGAAGGAGAGGGAGGGAAGCAGCGACAAGGGCACTCCGGCCGCTGATGCGAAGAAGCGTCCTGAGAAGGAGAAGGCGGGCTACGAAATCGAGAACATGTCCCGTGTGCTCCCCGGTCAACTCAAATTCGTCAGCTTCCCAGCTGGTCGGTATAAGCCGGTCAAGAAGGTAAGAAGAATCCCTTCATATGTTGCCTCCCTCACTGCTTTCTGCTTTTCTTTTCCCTAAGCCCCGTATTCTTTCTCGTCTTCCTTCGCACCGGCTAATGAATAACGCTGCAGCCCACCGGTGGACCCCTTCTTTTGGTGGATACCCAGCCAGAGGAGGAGAAGTCACTCATGGAGGAGAAGCTGAAGACGGTGACGACGGAGAAGGCACCCGTTGCCGGCCAAAGGACGGGCGGTGGCGCGGGCGGTGCGGCCGGCCAGGAACAGAACCTCATCCGGCAGGCTCTCCGGAACGAGGGCAACCTGCGATCGCTTAACGAGCTGAACGAGCTCCTGGGACATCGTCTTGGCGGCGGCGGCAGGAACAACGACGCCAACGAATCCGCCCCGGGCAGCGGTGCGGCCGCAGCAGCCGGTGTTCTCACCGCCGTGGACGAGGACGGAGAGGGTGATGAGGAGGCTCCTGTCCCGCGCGAGTTTGAGTACTTCAGTGACGGGGAAGAGGAGGAAGAGTGATAGATGGCTTCGTGGACGCCGTGCCGAGGCTTTCTTTCCACCAGAGACGCACTCGCCCCCCCCCCCCCCCCCCCCCCCCCCCCCCATGTCTCGACTGTATTTCTACCTTTCCCCCTGACTTAGAGAACGGGATAGAGCAGAGGAGGACGTGGAACATGCGAGGGAATCACGGGGTTTCGATGGTCGCTGCGGGACCCCTTTATCGCCGTTGAAGCTGTACACTAAAAGGGGACCGCGGTGGCGGTGGTGACCGTGGTGTAATAAGGAGTTGTATCATTTCCCTGACTTGTCTAACCTTGTCTTGTCTATATTCCCATATTTACTCGTCATGTCCGTCCTCTCTGTGTAGAAACTTGATGGGACTAACACCTACCGACGTCGTACAGAATTTGCGTAGCTGCAACATTTTTATTTAATTAGTATGGTGCGAGGTACATGGCCAGCAGAATGGACTATTATGTGTCTTTTTCTTTCCGATGATGACAAGCAGATCGACCGAAATTCCCCGATCGCCGCTCCATGATCAACCCCTATCATCAGTCGAGGGAAGAAGACAGATTCGTCTTGGGCACGACAGCAACGCCCCGTGAAGTCGCGTGCTGACCGATAAGCGGGCAGAGACAGTCTACAAAGAAAGCAAGAGACGCCAAAACAACCTGGCGGCCGATGACCTACCTCGCCACAGCCTCCTTAGTAAACTAATAATAATAATGAATAATAATAATAATAGATAAAGAAGGAGAGTAAAGGACACCATGCTGATAGAAGTGCTACAAATGCTGTATCTCGAAACACCCCGAGTCGCGCTGACGCCGCATTCTAGTTTCTCGCGTTTCCAACAAAAGGAAGAAAAGAACATGAAAAAAAAAATATAAAAAATAACGGGAAAAGTTGTAGTAGCAAGTGAATACGAAGAAGCTCAGAGGGGCCGGGTCCATTATGGTAAATGGGGCCTTTGCCCTCACTTATTGTTCTCACACTCGGAACAGACCCGCACACGATGCCAGGCGTTGGCCAGGTTCCCTCTGACGTTCCATATGGCGTCGTAGCCCTCGGGTTGCGCATTGTAGGCTTCGTCGGTCGCCTTGACGAATAGGGTCGAGCACCGCTTTCCGTCTTCGCGTCTTTCCTCCTTTTTGTCTCCCTCTGCGTCGCCTGGCCCGACAGCACCGCCACTACGGGGGCTGTCACGAAGCGGGATAACGCCCTCGTATCGCCATCTCCGCCATGCCCAAGACTTGTGACCGTTGCATGGACTTTCCTGGCCGGGACCCGGTACGGCGCAGTCATCGAGCAGCTCGGCCTGGTCCCACGTCGTGCCGTTGTCGAGGCTGACGTCCACCCGAATGATGGCGCGCCCTCCGCCGGAGTAGGCGAAACCGCCGATCGAAGCCCTTCGACCCCTTGGTTCTGCGGCCGCGCCTGCCGAGTCACTTTCGGCCTCTCCTGTTTCTGAACGACGATCCTCTTTTTCCACGCCACCGCTGGTCTTTGTGGCCGTCTCTCGTTCCTTCGTCTCGGAAGCAGAAGGGAGGAGCGGGGCCCAGTCGCCAAGCTTGACCGTAGTGATAGCACTTGTGATGGGCATCTCTTGAATGGCAGGCGCTTGGCTCCAGTCCGGATCGGTCACGTTGGGACCGAATAGCTTATAGTCCTTTTGCTGCCATTGGCTCTGGCTCTCTTCGTCGGAAACAACCACCCGCTTGAGCCACTTGACGGAGCGCGCAGCGACGTGGCCTGGTACGAGGGCCCGCAGGGGGAAACCGTGATCAGGCGGCAGGGGGGCGCCATTCATGGCGTACACAAGGAGAACGTCACCTCGGTGGTCGAGGGCCGGCCCGATGGGGATGCTCGCAGCGTATGATTCCCCGCCCGCAAACTGGACGTGACGGGCTTCAGTGTCCCCCGCCCTGGCCTGTTCGAGGGGAAAGCCAGCATCCGCAAGGACGTCCGCCAGCCTCACGCCTTCCCAGACGGCATTCGAGATGGCACCAAGGTTCCATTGAAGACCGTTCGTCTTTTTCTGGGCATGGGTTGTCATATCCTTGCGGCGGTTGCCCGAGCACTGAAGGGCGGCGGTGATCTTCACGGGTTTGAACTTGGTCTTGAGGTCATCCAAGGTGTACTCCTTTGTAGAACCGTCCAGGAGTTCGACAGTCAAGGTGTAGCGGTCGGGGTCGTCCACCTTGGGGACCCACATGTGATTCCGTACATAGAACAGCTCTTTCGGTGTGATGAAGGACTCGGTCAATTCCTCCAGCGGGGTCTCGGCATTCCGCGGTTTCTCCGTCATGGTGATAAGCCTGGGGTCACGAGGGGGGTCGTCGTTGAAGGGGTCTTCGATCTGCTCGGGGAGGGGTCTGCCGTCGACGAGGTCGGCCACGTCGACATAGCCTATCAAGTAGTGGGCGAGGATTTCGTATACGTGAGGAGACTTGTGTATGGAGAAGATATCCCAATAAGCGTCGATGCTCCCGCCGGCGGCGCGAAGAATGACGTCGCCGCCAGGGTGGGCAGGTATCCAATCGGTAATATCATAAACCTTGTCCTCATAGGTGATCCATGGTCGGTCTGATTTGGCGTCGTGCTTCCTCACATCAGACAGCCTGAAGCGAGGCAGTTCAGGATCTCGGTCGTCCGGTGAGGTATTGGATGGATTGTCTCGAGGGGCCGTGTCCGGCTCGAAAAGCGAGAAGAGACCAGCGAAAAGCGAGAAGAGGCCAACGCTAGCAATGAGAGAGGCCGCGGCGGAGCCAGTGCGTCGGGACGAATACCGTTGTCTTGTTCTTGCCTCTTTGCTCGGTATAGGAAGAGGTGACTCGGCGGTGACTCGATAAAGAGGCTGAAAGGTGTGTAGGCGGCGGGAATGTTGAGCTGGTCGACAACCTGGGTGTTTTGGCAGAGCCGTGAACCGGCGAGGCGCAGCGGATATCAGCTCCCTTGGCAAACGCCGGCCCAGTGCAGGTGTTATGACTGCCATACCTATCCCGAATCGTGGCTCGTTAGATTCGTTGGTAGGGGAGGAGAGTTCAGATCAAGGTTGTGACGGCTCGAGTTTGGTGTGAGGAAAGAATAAGTCCTAGGGGGCGTATCGGACGAGGGACGACGAAGGGGTCAAGATGGCGAGACGCGACGAGCTGTATCCATAAAGAGCTAAGCACCCGCCCCGTACGGCCTAGTTGTCTTGGTGGCAATGATTATTATGAAGATAAGTAGGGTGTTATCGTGCTGTCGACGCCAGTCGAGGTGGACTGGGCTTGAGGTTTCGAATGGGAAGCTAGGTCGGAGTCAGAGCGAATAAGAACATGGCAGAAGGGCAGAAAGGAATTCCACTATTAGAAAAAATCAATACAAATCTCAAGTCGTAGAACCCAGATGTAAAAGAGGAAAGAAGGGAAGACGGGAAGAAGAGAAGAGTCACGAGGTCAATTGAAAGAGTCGGTCACGGTCGGTTCACAGTCGGCCGGTAAGCTTCGGCATAGTGGGGATAGATACAAGATCGGGGAAGGCGGTCAACTACTTCCTATGTCTCAGCTAGACTAGAACGCAGAGGGCATCGTCGCGGGAGGGTCCGTGCAAGCAATAGAGGGCCATCGTAAATGACCTCCATGACTGATGACAAGGTGACCATTAGCCGGAGTGCGAAAAGAAGGGACCCTGCAGAGGAAAAGAGGAATGAGTTTCTGGTTGGTACGTTTGGAGTAGCACAAGTTGACGATTCGTGCGAGGAGCCGCTGGGGGACGTTGTTTCGTTTCGTGTTTGTGCTACCAGAAAGTTGACCATTTCTGAGGGGCGAGAAAATATCTTAATGTCAGGTACCTACCTACCTAGGTACCTAGGTAGCCACTAAAAAGACGTGCCTCGTCCTCGTGATTCATGGGGCCAAGGTACGTTGTAACTTGTAGGCACGTCAAGCCAATCACGCTCACTCCAGGTCAACGACGACAGGACTGTCCTCCCGCTTCAGGACGTCGTGCTCTGGGCTGCTGCTCAAGTTAATGACCAAGCTTGGTGCCGTCCGCCTCTGTCGCTTTCGATTTGTCTTTGTCTGAGTTCTTATGTCTTGCTTGTCTTCGCCCTCCGTTTCATACTCATCGTCTTCGTCATCAGAGGTGGAATCATTCCCGTGTTTTCGCTTGGCTGGTGGCCCCCCATTCTCACCCAACTTGGGCTCCCCCTTCATGGACATCTTGCGCGTCCCTTCAGACGGCGACGCCTTCATTTTGATCTCAGGCATTTGGTAACTTCGCCCCGGGAACATGATGTTGCCCCCCTTGACGCGGTTCTCGATTCGTTCTGCCACGATTCTCCGTATGGATTCGGTCTCCTTCTGCACTCTCATCCTGACGAATGCGAGCAGATCCATGGGTCGTTCCGCCGGCAGTTCAGCGTGCGACTTGAGGTGTTCAGCCCAGGCCAGCAGGTGACGATACGCCTGCCATCGTAGAGCTGTGTAGTCGCTCTCTACTTGCTTGGTGCTGTCCCTCAGCATGGCAGCTCGCTGGACCCCACTCGACTCTACCTTCAGGCGAGGCGGCGACTGGATGATCTGGATGCGAACACCGCCGAGAAGGGGTTGAAGGGAAAGCTGACTGGGTTGGACATGTACTTGGGGATCCATGGTTGGCGGGAGTGGAACCTCCCAGGGACCGCACGTTGGGAGCTTGGGAGCTTCTTGGTAAAGCGTGGGAGAGGATCCCGGAATAGCGTAGGCCCAATGGTCGAGATCCGCGAGGTCGGCGGGACCGAAGGTGCGAGGAGGCTCGGGCAAGACCTCATCTTCCAGACCCAGTTCGACGCCCTGATCTAGGTCTGATTCTGAGCCAGCGTCGGGCGCGTTTTCGGCGTCATTTGTATCCTGTTCTGGGCTTCCGGTGGCTTGTTCACGAAGCTGTTCAGAATGGTGGTTTTCCGACGTGTTGGAAGAGCTCCTTTCGTGGTTGAGCTGGCGGCTGGGCTGCGGGGAATGTGCTGACGATGCTTCTCGCTCTGGCCTTTGCAGAGAGGATGAGCGGGAAACCACTGGAGCGGACTTGCAACTCGGCTGTAGGACGGGGTCAGGTTCTGGCTGCGGCACCTGTCTGACGTTCTGGAGGTAGTCGATGAGCTCCTGGGGGCTGGTGGTAGAACATCCAATGATTACCCTGCTCTGGGCTGTTGTGAGCCCAGTGTCGGATGGCCCCTTTGGTGGGAGCGAGGCGAAGGGGAACGGTTCGTCGCCACGGCCTGAGTCCGGTTCACGTCAGCGTTCTTTTTCTCACCAGTGGATGGTGGGATGGATGTATGGATGGATATATACTGATAGACTCCCAGTACACTTGACACGTCTCCCACACGAGGCGCTTAAGTGAGCGTCGATAGTTCTGTCTCCGGCTCATCTCCTTGGCACAAAGACGACGGAGCGGGAGCATGTATCCGTCGAGAAAAGTCTCTTTCTGTTCGGCTTTTGTAAGGGCCTTGAATCTCTCAAGCCCGGCAACCCGGCTCCAGAAGCCACAGAAGTCGACGGGTAGAGTCATGGCAGGATTGGACCGAAGGAGAGGTGGCCGGCCGTTGTCAAGTATTTTTTTTAGCTGAAGATAAACAAGTCTTGGGTGGAAAAGAATGGCACGAGAAGTCCAGGTCAGATTTTTGAATTCCGGTGTTCATCACACTCGAGAATCATAACTAAAGTATCTATGTGGTGCGTCACCTCATAGAGGTCGGTAGGTCGGCAGGCAGAAGGTATAAGGAAGTAGATAAGGTAGAAAGAAAAGACAGAAAGACAAGCAAGTTGAGTTGTGTAGATGTAGTGTAAGGTACCTTATATTTCCAATAATGCCTGTATTTTTGACCGTATACTTCGTGCCATGTCTAAGGTACCTTACCTATCCCTCGGAGGCGTCTTCTGGCTGGGCAGGTGCCTGCTCACTCAACAAAGGGGTCCTCCTGCCCTCTGAACTCGAACCACCCTCCAATACCTAAGGTACCTACCTACCTACCTTAGGTACCCATGTTGCTACGCTGCCACCTAAGCTCCTTTAATACTCGCAATTGGTAAATTGGATCATAACTTGTGCCATAAACTTGGGCCTCCATCGGACTATGACTCTCCATACAACTAGTTACACACGCACAATGCATCAGATCTTCCTCCCACACAGAGGTATCGCCTCCCACACTTCCCGCTCACACCAGCAAAAACTCCTTCGTAACGCCTTCAAAGGCCCGAATTCGGCCAAAGAAGTTCCTCTCATCTCCAAAATAGCGAATCCGATACGTCCCCGGCTCCGGTCCGTCCCCGCCTTCCCCCGTCTCCCAACGAATAGTCGCTTGGCTATATCCCAGAACGAAGTTGGTCCGCTTCCACTCATACACGAGGAACCAGTCACCGTCGTCCCGCACCCGGGTCCATATCCCGTCATTCCCGAGCTTCTCCACCGCCGCATACGTCCCCTCGAGCCGCAAGTTGTTCCGCGGGTTCGCCCCCTGAAATCGAGCCTCTACGACCTCGCCGCGTTGGTAGCTCCTCAAGGGCTGTGAGAGTACCTGACCGAAGCTGCGACCTATCGGCGCCCCATCCAGCACTACTCCCGTGTTGAAATTGAAGGACACGGCTCGGTTATCCGGAGGCGATGGGCCCGGGCCCGGGCGCGTGGTGGAGTCCGGGGCCAGGTGGTGGAGGTTACGGATGGTCAGGTTCATATAGGTCGATAGAGTGTGGCGGCCGAAGAAGGTGGAAGCGCCTTCGTAGCGCTGGACGTCGTACTCTTCCGGTGTGGTGACGTAGTGCTGTTTGGGTTTCCCGTTGTTCAGACACGAAGTTGAACGACTGAAAGGCCGTGTAACGGAGTCGAAGAAAGCATTGTACTTACGGAATATGTGTTCGCTGGTCCACCAAGTATCACAATCGGATTATCCACGATGCCTTCTGCAGCCGCGGCTGTCGCTTCCCTCCACCGCCTCCCTGCCATTGTCGTCACTTCGGGGCTTGCAACGAGCATCACCAGCTGCCCAACCCGCAGGGTTTGGATATCCACGATATTTGGGCTCCATGGATAAGGAAACTCCATTCCGCCGACGTCCAGGAGGATAGGCTTGGGAACCTGACACTCACGCTGTTCGCGCGTTGGCGTCCGCAGAAGTCCCGACACTAACTTCCATAGCGGGTTTGCGCTCGGGTCGCCCGAGTCGGCCTGCGTGAAGTCGAATGCCCCTGGGCCGTCTGACGTCCCCGCGGCAAACGAGTAGCCTAGGGATGCCGGGCATGTGCGCACCCGGGTACCATCAGGGAGGTGGAAGTCCCAGAACGCCATGTTGTGGAAGAAGTGGAATGACTTGACCGAGGGCCCAATAATGGGCGTCGAAGACGAATCGAGAGAATCCTACGTGCCCCCCCGGCATCGTTAAGTTCACATGCCACTGAATTATACTTCGTATCAGGGGAAGACAGGGAGATGGGAAGATGGAAAGACGGGAAGACCGAATTCGGATCGGGGGAAAGCTTACGTATATGAGCTTCGCCCCAGCGTATTGTCTCCTCCCTATTTCATACGCACTGGAAACGCCGAGGTCGAGTTTCCTGAACTCGGGGCCACGGCCTCGACAGGCCTGCGAGCGTCCATCGTCACAGGTGCTGTTCTCCAGACGGCACTGCTGCCCCGACCCGTCGTCACACCAGGCGCCCAGAACCTTGGGGGTCGTGTCGGCATGGTTCGCCTGCGCAAAGCCCGCCACGAAACCCGAGGCCGCACTATCGTCCCCTTCCATGGCCTTCTCAAAAAGGTACGCGGCAGCGCCCTTGTTATCGCCCGCCACATGGGTGCTGTTCTGGTGCATGGATGTTGGGTGGACGGCGAACCAGTTGAGGATGCCGAGGGCCTTGCCGTCTGACGCCCGGCGGAAGCGCAGAAGCGTCATGGCCGTGTCCACATCCGTCTCGTAACGGTCTCGCTCCTCGTCCGGGTTCGCCATGTAGGCCCAGGCGCTGCGGTTGATCGAGGCATCAGTAACGTCAGTCCTACCGAGGTCGAGGTGGCCCTATGCGGAAGAACTCGTGGTCAGAAAGAACCCCCTTTTCTGCTTTGCTTGGCTCCCGCTAGTCAATATATTTAGTCAATATTTCTCTCTCACCTCCGTCAAGGACTCATGCGCTCTCTTGATAGACAGCAGCGCCCCGTCAATAATGGCCTGGTAGCTCTGCTTGTCGAGCCCTAAATTGGTCACCTGCGGCAGGAGATAGCTGAACCATGCGCCAGGCGCGGCGTGACTATGGGTCCCAGTCACCGCGACGTTGTCCTTGCCGTACACGTCGTACTCGGATCCCAGGTTTCCCAAGCCCTCGAGAATGCCCCTGCGCACTGCTGTATCACCCGACATGGTGTCGAGCACTAGATACACGAGCCGATCGTCAGGGTTGTCGACATCCCCGATGATGAAGGCACGGCTGTAGAGCCTCTGGCGGAGGCCCGATCCCTTCTGATCCAAGTCCGCATAGCCGGCAAAGCCAATCTCGACAACCGGACCCGTAATGTCTGCCTTGCCCACTCCAAGAAGATACCTATCGCCAGAGGTTTGCCTCGGCGCTCTAAACCTGGAGGATCCATAGCCAACTCGCGACGAGGACACGCCGGCGGCGACGACCTTTTCCAGTAAAGAGAGGAAGATGGTCAAATATACGACGAAGACGGGCATGACACGCCTCGACGGCCCGAGCCTGCCTCCTCGTCTTTGCGTGAAAAACATAACTCGTAATGCCAAAACGTAGTGCAAGATAAGGACCACGAAGTGCCCTTTTGCTCGGGTATTACACGGCATCCAGGAACGGCCCTCCCTCGTCGGATCGACGGACCAGAAGATCTATATCTTGATCGGTCGCTTCCGCTTAGCCGCCGCAGCCATAGAGAGACAAACGGGAACCCCGTAGTCGACCTCTTAAGGTCATGAGAGACAGCCCGACCGGGGCCAAATGGTAAGGGGGGTATTCTGCATCGCTTTCCAATGACGACAAGAACAGTTCATAGCCAACCCCGCCACCAGAAGCGCACCCTCATCACAACTCGAAGACTACATACGGAGTAGCCTTGTATGCAGCGTGCCTCTCGTACGTGTAGAGAAGCCGCAAAAAGGACCCCTTCCCAGATACCGTGATTTCCCATCTTGGGAGATGTGGGTCGAAAATGGGATCAATCAAAGGCCGACTTTAAAAATCAAGGTGCTGACCCGTAATCAGCCGCCATGCCATGCGACATGCAAATGGCATCGGGTAGTGTCCAGATCAAGATCAAGAGCCGAGGGAAGCAAGGAGCAAGAAGCAAGGACGGACCGACACACACCAGAGAGACATGCGCTATCCGACGTGGGGTCTTGCTGTAGTGTAAATCGACGAGCGTACAACGTATGGGGAAGCCAGCTTGGTGGTGGCTGGCTGGGGAAGCAGTGAAATCATCACCATGCGGCTAGTGCGTCTTGTGCAAGGACATGGTGATGAGAGGAGAGGGAGGGGAAGGGCCCGAAGGGGGAAACAAGGTGTGGAGGTGGGTGGACGGGAGAGTGACGTCGAGTTGGCAAGGAAAAGGGGAAGGTTAGACGTCGATCGGCCCCTCTTCTTTTGTTTCCCTTTTGTTTCCCTTTTGGTCTATTTTTTTTCCGTTTTTTTTTTTTTTTTTTTTCATTAAGAAAAAGAAGGAAAGAAGGAAAGAACCAACCGAAGAGCTCAGTTCTCTACCTTGTTGGGAATAGAAGGGAGACGACCCAGTTCCAACGATGCGAAGCAAGAGAGAAGATGGATGTATCATGTACGTACTCTGTGAGTGGTTTGCATCTCGCACCGGCACTGCTATTGGATGCTACGAAACTCAGCACTTTGCTTGGCCCTCGAGTCCGTCACGAGGACATATTCATGACCGTTCGTGCGTCCACCTTATCGAATGGAGAGTTCTCAAGAGGATAGGCGGTAATAAAGTCGTTACTTCAGCAAACACAGCTTCACCTCCAGAAACTGAAGTGGGTATAGACACGTTCAAGATAAACATATGATCCGTACAGGTATATATAATGTATAATACATAATATAGTGTATAACATATTATATATAACAATAAGAATCGACACGTCTATTAACCACGGGCGCGTAATAAGAGCAAAATCGATAAAACTATTAGGATAGAGATTATAACTACTACCTCCCTCCCGGGATACTATCGTAGCGGCACCGTAATACTAGCGCTACGGTGTAGCCGGAAGAGTCGTGGGATAGCGTCGCCCCGACCTCGATTATACAGGATTCGTAACGGACCCACTTTTCGTAATATAAGCGCTCCCCCCCCGTCTATAGCAGGACGTAGCGCGGAACCGATATAAGACCGAAAGGGGACCTCTACGCCCCCTAGAACCGAGAGTAACTAAGATTAGGACAGAAATCTAAGCCTTATTAGCTAACAGAAATACGATTAACTAGGTCGTGGAGCTAGTAGAGGAATTAATCACGATACGTAGTACCCGTAAGGACGCCGGTACGATACTATTAGCGTACCTATATATAACCGTCCGCTATATTATCCGTGAGGAACTCCGAAAGGGAATAAGCGGTATAAGAGAGACTTAGGCTAATATTATAGCCTAAGTACCCGCGGTAGCGCCGCCGCGGGACCCCGCCCCCCCTAAAATAATCCCCGCTAGGTATTATCGGGAGCTAATAGTCCGCTAAGGAACCCTCTCCGAAGACTAGCCCCTTAGAGCTAGGACCCCTAAGGAAATTATTTAAGCTATAAACGCCACGACTACCCGATATAACGCCGTAGCGGTATAGAAGCTGCCTAATAGTAATATCTGCCTTACTTTTACCGAAGGGGTATAGTAGTAGACTACCTATAAGGAGTAATAGGTTAAAAAGGCCTTCGGTAAAGGAGCTACCCTAGCCGCGCGAACCTACCCTACGCTTACTAAGGCTATCCCCCGGGAGGTCCTTAACGCCCTATCCGAGGAGGACCTACTAGTATCCCTATAAGATATAAACCCCGAGGCTAAAATCCTCTGGGCGCGATAGCGAGTACCCCGCCGCGGTACCGATAGAGTAGCGCTCCTCCTTATCGAATCGGCTTTACCGGAAGGGGTAGTAAGCCTTATCCATAATACCCTCCTCTTTGAAAGGGGTAGCTATATTTACGAACTATACGATCCTAACCTTAATCCCCTAAAGTGCTATAAATGCCTATACTTCGGCTATAGGGCTAATAGCTACCCGGCGGTAAAGAAAGTATACCGTTACTACGCTAAGTCTAAATCGGCGTACCTATAAGGCCTAGGGCACTATAACGCTATAGCGCCCGGCCGACCCCGCCGCTATACCGCCTATACCGGAGACTATAATAGCTTTAACGATTTATACCGGCTACTTAAGAAAGAGGCCGAGAAGACTCGCGAAGCGTATAAATACTAAGCCAGGGACTTCGATATTACCCGTTAGACCGAAGCGGTATACCCACGGCAGCCGTAGATCTTCCCCCTACTTATTATCGCCTAGGACTAAGACAGGCCCCTCTATAAGGGCCGTGGACGCCCCCCGAAAAGGACTAAAGGATATAAGGGCTCCCCGATACCGGGCCCGATAAGCGCCTATATAGTCCCTCGCGGGACCGGTAAGGCATTATAGTAGGAACCCTAGAGTTAGACCCCGGTTATACCGGGCATATCGTCTTAACCCCCCCCCCC